CAACATAGCTTTCGTTTATGGGCACCATTAAGGGGCAGCTTTGCTTCATTTTATTGATTTTCCGGTTAGGGTTATTTTAAGCGAAGTCAGCATTCCTGAATCGGGATATATCTGTTGTTTCGATATTGGAGTTTAGTTTTGTAAGTATCTCGAAGTTTTGTTTCGGGTTTTTACATCGAAATCTAAACTATTTGCTTGAGAATGACGGCAACACTGGTACTTCGTTACCATGGCTGGTGCAGAGCAGACTACCTCCGTGAAAAAGAAAGTAAAAGAAGCCGAGAGAAAGATATGTGAGGAAAGAATGCAAAGAAAATCAGCTTTAATAACTATGTATAGGGGACGAAGAAAACAGGAAATTAGAAGGGAACGTTGGTATCATAATTCACGGGGGAGGTCGTTTTTCGAGGCTAGAACGGGAGTGTTGAGGACTAGGACATGTGCTACACAGTATGAGGACATAGATAGGCGGTATGCCATATGCCAAGGGGAAGACGAGACAATACAACGTGTGGTGTTGAGGTGCACAGGGCTTACTCCCGCCCTCTTGGAGGGGGTGATGGATTTAGCTGAAGCACTGGTGTTTGCAGACGAGAATGGAAATATGGATGATAAGTGCATTGTAACAACAAAGAGGAGATTGTAAGACTGGTGGAAATTATCTTGGGAGAATTTAATGCAGTACCGCTGACTGGTACAAAGGAAAGTTGGGACTCCCTCCCGCGTGGCTCCGGCCCAAAGTCTCCACTCTGTCTCCCAGTGGGCCCGGTGCCGGGGTAACGTCGACTAGGTTTGACCAGAGGGAAATTGGCGACTTCCTTGCCGGGGGAAAGGGGGGGGGGGGGGATGTTTCTAGTTCTTTTTCCCAATCCCCCAAAGGTTATCCTGGTGATATTCCACACCAGGTGGTGATAGTTACGAGATTGCAGAGGGTCTTTCGTTCTTAATTTCTAGGCTAGGTGGCGCAAGTTATAAAGGGTACATGAAAACCATTGCTTTTCTCCTACACCTTATATCGCATTTGTCCGTAGACTCATATAAGATAAAACTGTCCCCTTATACTAAGTTTCCAAAAACTCCACTTAACTTGCATATTTTTGGCACAAAGTGGCATATAGTGGATGGTGTTTCAAACTACAGGTTGCATGAGAGCTCCGTAAAGTTGGCTTCACCTGCGAAAATTCTAGGAATGTTCGCAAGCGAACATTCAAAGAATTTTGCGCATATGAATGTTCGAAGGCGAATGTTCCGAGAACATTGTGCATATAAATGTTCGTTAACAAACGTTCCTAGAATGTTGAGCAGCTTAGCTTGTAGGGAATGTTCACATACAAACGTTCCGAGGACGTTCCGAATGGTGTTTTAACGTTCCTTCAACATTCAGAACACCCAGGGAGTGTTTGCGCGACATTGGGTGCTACGTGGGATTCAACGTGACTGATATCTGCTGGTTCCCCTGCAAACGCCTTGTCTCGCACACTGGCATTGCCCTCGCGTGTCTTGTAGGATATATACCTATATATATATATATATGTATGCATGCACTATGCACTATGCACTATACATGAACACGTCATGTATAGTGCATGGATTTAGTGCGGTTGGCTAATCAGATATATCGCCGATTCTCCAATTTAGTTAGTGTCTTTGTCGGAAAACGAATATGATTTTAAAAAGGCAAGTTTTTGCTGCATTTTTGACAGGAGTTTTGAAGATGACACTATAACTAGGCCATAGATTTTCCGACGTTTCTTTAAAAGGAAACTTGGCGAACGTTTTTAAGTGGTTATATTTATTCTTCGTAGAGCGGCGTACTTAGGCGGTGTGTTTTGTATGGGTACTAAAAACAGTGTTTATCGCTTGAAAAAAAAAACTAATAACTAAAAGTTCAAATTTAATTTACAAGTTACGCTTTACATGATTTATAACGATTACCAGTTTATATGTGGAAGGAAAATTTCCCCAAAACGATGTTTTCCTGTTTTAACCAATATCATGGTTTTGGCACTGGTAGGTGTTTTGTCGGTGTTTTCTCTTTTAAAACCAAAAAGTCTATGGCGTAGCTACAATGTGCTGCACATTAAGGCCGAGAACAAAGCACGGAAATTTCCTTTGGCGTTTGTTTAAAGGGCGGAGGACGACTTCAAGTAAGTCGACGGTTTATCACCAAGTGGCAAGTGCTAATCCGCAGACCGAGAAACAGCGATATGAGCCCAACGATAATAATTCCTGGAGATGGGGATTATTATCCCCTTCTCCAGGGATTCTTATTATTCTTGTCCAGCTCGCTTATGCCTTTGCATTAATCGCATTATCAACAAACGAGCCCACTCAACGAGATGCGTACCATGAGGAGTGTCACGTCGATCCGAGGTCGTCAACCGCGGTCGTCTTCTTGCCACCACCCAGGCTCCAGGATGAGGCGGCAGAGGCGTCCCCGAGGGGGGACCCGAAGCACGGGTCTCCGTGTCCCCTCCACCACGGCCACAAGTCCGGGTCCCCCTCGAGGCTGAGCCGCCCCACGTCGCCGCGGGTGACGGCGGCCACGCCCCCTTCCTCCCGGGGGGCCGGCGGCAGTCCCCAGCACCGGCAGCAGCAGGGCCCCATGGACTGCAAGTCGCCGCTGCGCGTGCACCTCAGCAACGACACCTTCAAGGCGGTCAAGTGCGGCGATGCCACCGACGTCAAGGTGAATCCGCGCTTCCGTTTGTCGCGGGGGCTTGGGTTCGGCGATGTTGGCGTGGCTGTGGTGCCTGTTAACACTTCTTGGTCCTATGTACAAGGTGTCCCCCAAAAATATTTACAAGGTTTTTTTTCACTGCGAAAATAAACTATGCATTGCCGAACGCTGATTCTCGCCCTAAAAGTAGCACTAAAGGTCCGAACGAGATGCCAAAGTTTCAGCACGAACCAATATCTTATTTAAAAGTTATAAGTGATTTTCTGAAAAACTCAAGTGGGAAAATGGTTGCCAACAAAGTTCTCGAATACATAGAGCTCTATGGCTCTAGAAACCGAAAATGGGCAAAAATAGGCCCTATTTTTCCCATTAAACGTTTTAAAAAATCACTTATAACTTTTGAATGAGATATCAGTTCAAGCTGAAATTTTGGTATATGGTTCTGACCTCTAGCGTTACTTTTGGCCCGAGAATGAGCGTTCGACAATGCCTAGTGTATTTTTGCGGTGAAAGAAACCCTGTAAAGTGTTTTGGCGGGCACCCCGGGGTGGACAACGTGTCCCCCAAGAAACTTGCTATTTTTTTTTTTTCACCGCAAAAATAAAATGCATTGCATGGCACTCAGTTTGCATGCAAATGTAGCGCTAGTGGCCTGGACCATGTGCTGTATTAAAGCGAGAGCTTTAAGGAGATTGTGTTGCAGAAAAGCCGGCATTGGCTTTTCTGCTTTGAGGGATGGGAAAATCCGTATTGTTCGATAGGATTATGACATCACAGCCACATGACGTCGCGCGGGAGTTTCAAACAACGTACACCATCACGCATAGAATGAAAGTAACTAAAACATGACATGTAATGAAAATTAAAGTTCACTAGCTGCATGTCTCAAGTGATTTCATTTGCCTTAAAGAAAAAAAATTTGAAGAATTTTAGGCGGAGGCAGGATTCGAACCCACAACCCTTCAGTTGCGAGCCAGACATGCTTCCGTCTAGGCCACACAGACCTCCTTGCACAGCTGGGGAACGAGCGGGGGTTTATATGTTTAGCTGTCGCATTCTACTCTTAAAGGCGAAGCTTAAAGGGAAGCTACGGAGCTTCTTGAGAAAAATGAGTTAGAAGTGAATTCTAGTGTATTTTTGCCCCGTGAACCCGAATACCGAAACCATTTCCTGCGCAAGTATTCTTAAACGCGAGAAAACGTGAAAGAAAGTCGCTATACGTGACGTCATTGACGGATCTTTTGGCTGCCCAATGCTAGGAGGGCGGAGCTTCGGCGCTATTTTGAAATTGTTCTTATGGCTCTCCGGTGCGTCACATTAAAATATAATTGTGATATCTGTTATTCTAAAGACCAAATGAACGCAATTCAAGCATTTTTTCTCAAATGCAGAAGTGCCCCATCTTCCCTTTAAGCATCCTGTTGCATTTTCAGAACCAAACCTGAACTGATTCAAAAGTCATAAGTGAGAAGCTTCTGAAATTTTCAGTGGGAAAATGGGGCCTGTTCTCGGTAGCCGACGTAATTCATCCGCGTGTAAGTGTGGGCTTCGTAGGCCGCCATTTTTCGATCGAAGATTTCTGAAAATCGTTTATAACTTTTGAATTAGATAACAGCGAGCTCTAAAACTTTCGCATCTGGTGCGGTTTGCTAGCACCACGTCTGGGAAGAGATAGAGCATTCGGCGATGCATAGTTTATATTTGTGGCAAAAAAATACACTAATTATTTTTGGGGATACCCCGTACTAAGTGTCCCGTACTGCTTGTTCACTGTGGGAATCCTCAAACCTTTCAATATCGATATGGCACCTATAACAAGTCTCCCTTCTGGTTCGTTCACCGTGTCCTCAAATGCAGTCCCTCAATTTCTGTCCGACGATGTAGGAGGTGTCGTACCGTTGCCCATTGCAGTCCTGGCAACGGCACAGCAGCGAGGGCGGACACGGCGTGTGCCTGTTCTGCCGCAGGTCGCTCTCAGGCTTGGCAGTCCATCAACTAGAATACTTTAGGGTTCCTAGTAACCCTGTATAAGAACCCAGTTTGAAAAGGTTTACTAGAGGGTTGATGAAATGGCACCAAAATATGCTTGGTGCAGCAGCGACGGAGCAGCGCTGCTTATTGTCGCGATGTCGGTGGTGGGCCATACAAGTGACAGCATAATTGCAGGCAACCAAGAGGTCGTCTGCAAAAGGTCATCTGCTACAGGCTGTCTGCAACAGGGACACACATTGTCTGCAACAGGGTTCTGCAAATGTATTTTTTTCCAAAAAGGGAACAAAAAAATTGAAGTGGTTTTTCCCGCGTTCTGTTCTGCAGGGCATCATCCACCTGCTGGAATCCCAGCTGTCAGAGAAGCCCCTGCCGCTGGGGTCCCTGCTGGCTTTGCGGCTGCACCAGCCGGCCACTGGGGAGGTGCAGTGGCTGCACCAGGACACCACCATGTTCCAGGTGGTCGAGAAGTACCTCCCGCAGCACAACACCAGCGACTGGAGGTGAGCGCGCTTGCTCACTTCCCCCTCATCTTTCTTAGGGAGACTGCTGTGGACGAACCGTCCTGTGTCATGCTTGAAGTGAAGCGGTTACCTCCTTTTGGAGATCGTTTAACAGCGCCAGTCGTGACAGTTGTTCTTATCCGATCGGTCGACTGGAAACGGCCATCGCCCATCTTCCTTTGACACTTGCAAAGAACTGTACTAGCCTCTCTTTTGTTTGAAGGGACACTAAACCGCCCTCTGCAATACTCTATTTATGGTCATAACTCAATCTATGGGCTCTAAGCATCCTAAAAAAAATCAAACATAACATTCGTGCGTGGCCGATTTCTCCATTAAAATAGGCACGAAAAGATAGATTAGCTCGGTACAATCACAGAGAACCAAGGGTGCCATTGTACGGGGAAGGGCAGGGCTCTGCCCTTTCTTGTGCAGTGGTGCCATCTGGTATCAATCTTTTGATACCGATTTTAATAGAGAAATTAGCTGCACATGAATGAAACCTTTGGTTTCTTAGGATGCTTAGAGCAGATTGAGTTATGACCATAAATAGACTCTCACAGAAAGTGGCCTAGTGCGCCTGTAAGTTCCCGAATCGAACACATATCTCACAAAAGAACTTCATAAAAAAAGATATAGTAGCGCAATATATTTATTGCTACACATATTTTGAATCGGGAGCTATTGAGAAACTACCAACTTTGATTTCTAAGTCAATGTCTCGAATTCAAAGTTAGTTTAAAAATCACTTTCAACTTAAAGTGCGTTGTGCGACATAAATACAGCATGTGCAGTCTTTGCCACGAGTTTAGAGCCTACCACACGCATAGCCAGAGCGAGCTCGCTCCAGCCATGCCTGCGGTGGGCTCTAAACTTTTGGCAAAGACAAAGACTGTACAGTGACGCTTCGAATTCACTTTAAACAGTCCGGAAAATTTGGTTGCTCAACATATCGCGCTGCGATTTACTACAGAGGTGCAGTTAGGTGGTGGCAGCTTGGATAGAAAATATGAACGGATGAACTTGCCTCAATCAAAATATCAAACTGAGCAACCTGTTTCCTGCTGTCTACGGCGGCATTCGCAGGCAGCACTGCATACTTAATTTGTTCAAAAAGAGTATTGCACCTTGGAAATATTACGTTACAGAGACATGTGCCACGCCGAGGAAGCGTATTTAAAACATTTGGAAAATTGTCTGCTAAGCTCAAAGCCAGGGTGTTGTCGACGCATCCAACATATGTTGGCAGCATTATGTGGGCGGCACGTGCCGTGTGCGAATAACGTTTTGGATGCCCAAAACGGTTTTTAACTTTTTATTTTTTGAATGAGGAAAGTTCATTTGTCAATACTTTCACTCCAAGCTTCCACTATCTGGCCGCACTTCTGTAGTAAATCGCAGCGTGATACTGATTTTTGTCGACCGTCTAAGATAGATTTGAAGCGTTGTACCACATATAAGATTCTTTTGGTGAAGAAAAGTTCATTTTGTGATATATGTGTGCTGTCCATGCACTTAAGAAGCTAATGTATTCTTGGGGGGTGGGAGGTCAGTGTCTCTCTAAGTTAGCTTTCCTTTGCTACACCAGCACAAGAAAGGGGAGAGGTGATCTGTAGCAGGGGAAAGCCAATTTGTGCAGCAGTTTCCCGGTTCGTGTGGTTTGACCTATTCCTCTAATTTCTAATGGGGTACTCACACGGGGGATGCTTTCGCGGTAAGATGTGTGTGACGTCAGTGATCGGCGGAACCAGTGGGACTCCGTCCCCAACTCCAGCAAACCCACAAATGGCAAGGAGCCAAGATGGATGTCAGTGTTGTCAGACTCATTTAATGGTCACACTCTTGACAACAGTGCTTGGTGCACGCTGACAAGAGGAGAAAAGGGGAGGCGTACATAGAACGGTGATACGTGATTATGGCAGCTGCACTGTTAGGTTCACAAGACGATGAAGTGCTTTCTGCTAAAGAAAAGAAAAAAAGAAAGAGGTTTTTTAAATGGATGGGTGCAACACAAATAATGTGGAATCCAAAACCAGTTGTATGAGGAGCAGCTTGAGGATGGCATTGGTGAATATCGAAGACTCCTTCAGATGCCACGAACAACACGCTCAACAGCTCAAGCCACAAGTCAGGTGATCCCGATGCCATCGCCGGCATCCTGCAGAGAAAAATCTAAGTTGCCATACACGTAGACAAAATACCGCCAACTGCAAAGAGATCTCACAGCCCTAGCAAAAGCTCCCCATCCCCCTGGGATGTCTACATCAGCAAGGCTTCGTGCACAAGTGTGACATTGTTACCATATGATGCACATTCTGGGGATCAAAGGGAGGGATTTCTCCCCCTTGTGAATACCCTTTTATCTTTCTCTCCTCCTTGTCCCGTTGATTCCTTGTGGATATACCGTAGTTTAAAAGGTTAGGTTGGGGGAGACACCGGACACCAAAAGTGTCGCTTCTGCAGCATTTATGGTTTGCCTGCACATCACGCTTTTCACAAAAGTAGAACTTTGTTGAAAAAGATGGCTTTCCGCTATCATTCGTTTGTATTTTTAATCGAAGATGGACAGTCAAAATTGCTCACTCATGGTTATAATGGTCTAAGAATGTTCCAGCAATGCTAGAGTAGCGGATGATTCCGTTGCATCTCTTGTGTTTTGTTTTCCGTTTTGGCCGCTGACACAGAAAAAGATTACTACTGCTGTGGTAATTCTTTCGTCTTTCTCATTTCTTTGTTTGTTATTTATTTTGTTATCATCTCGTCCATTTCTTTTATTTTCAAGACTGTTTACGTGGTGTATATATTTTGCAGGTTTGAACTGAGGGTGCGTTATCTCCTCAGCAACCTTAAAGAGTTCTACGAAAAGGACCCAGTGCTCTTCGCATACTTTTATAAACAGGTGGGTTTTTCTTTCTTTTCTTTCTTTCCTTTTCTTTCTCAAGACAGCCGTCTTGAAACATGACCTTAAAACACACTCTGTTGCTTTCTCTCATCCGCAGGTACAGAGTGATTTCCTGGTGAAGTGTAACGACATTGACCAAGATCTGGCAATTCATCTATGTTGCTTAGAAATTAGGTAAGCCTTTCTTTTGTAATTATTAGGTCTGCAAAGCTAATCATGGTATGCGTAGGTAGTGTTGGTGATGGCCTTTGTATGCAAGCTCATTTCTAGGGTAGAGACACCTGACCACTTTGTTTTTGACCAATCCCTCTTGGTGGCACATGTTACCACCCACTACTGCAACTGCCCATCCATACATCCATCTCGTTTCTTAAGGCCATGCGTATTCTCAGCATGTGCTCGTGGCTTCAGCCAGTGGTGGTATATATTCTCGAATGAATGCTGGCTGTGGTATCCAGGGCGGAAAATTAGCGAAACATTGCCGGCCTCACCAAATTTACCTGATATCTGACAGGACTCCCTCTAGCCACCAGGCCACCAGTTAAAATAGAATGTGCTATGAACTTGCTTGGTTAGAGAAAAATACTGGCCGTGCTTCTAGCGGGATTAAGCACACTGTTTTTGCAATGCAGTTTAGCGAGAATGCGAAAATGTGAAACAAAAAACTGCAACCAGTGAGTTCTCAAAATCTCTTATTTACCACCGCCATCTTGTCTTTGTTGCCAATTCTTTTATTCTCCATCGCTGCTCTCAGTGGTGTGTGCCAGCAGCCATGAATAATAATTAAGAAAGGTTGTAGTGTCACACGCGTGAGTTATTGCGCACATTAGGTTGTAGCAATTGCGCCACCTAGCTGATGGTGCCGCCGCCATGTTTGTTTTGATTGCTATTTTTAGTGATTGCTGGCACTCATGCTAACTGCTGATGCAAGTATCAACTGCCAGATGCGTCCTCCGTAAAGGGGCCGTGACTGTTGTTAGATATGTTGAAAATTATTTTCTACATGAATCAATGAAACTATATGCAATAACATTTTTAAAGTAAAAAACCAGCACTGTTGAACACAGGTTTGACATGTCTGCGATATCGGTTTCTGTATCGTGTGAGTTTGTAGCAAGTGCAGTCACATTTATCGCTAATTTTTGTATCTGTCTCGTCCCAAAGGATTATGCGCCTGATATTTTTTTCCTATCCATCTCTTCACTATAGGTGGGCATTTCTTTGAGAGTTAGCGGTAGTGCTTCTTGTTTGCCGCCTCATTTCCCTAAGTTTATTTTTCAGTGATGCAATACTGCCGAGATAAGTTGCTTTAAATTAGTGATACATGTTGTTTTGAATTAACAATACTACATGCAATTCTGAGTTGGCAATGCATGGCTGTGAGTGAAAAGGAAGCCATCTGTTGTCAACTATGAGTTCCACAAAGAGTAGCATTGGAGAAAGACTGGCGTTGATTCGGGCGATGAGCGTGACATGAAGTGACACTCTGTCCATGTCTTCCTTCATCTGGTCCGTCGTCTTTTGTACTGTTTTCATCTTCTGAAGTATGATATGACATGGATAGTGACCACCGAAGTTGATGATGTTGGCAGGAGGTTCTGGAAAGACATGACCCACGCGGCACTCGACAAGAAATCCAACTACGAGCTCATAGAGAAGGAGATTGGGCTGCACAAGTTCCTGCCAGCTAACGTGATAACATCGAACAAGGTAGGGCTGCTTTTCTGCTGGATATCCAACGCGAAAGTTGCATGCTCTTATTACTGTCATAACACAGAGCTCTTTGACAAGTCGAAACTCTATGGAAGCTTCAGCATACGTTGTGGTGTTTCACATTTTGTAAATGGAAAAAATGTATACACATAAAAACATTTCAGATTGTGATAGTCAAGTGATACGTGCTAAACTCGGTGTGTAGAAAAAACAGAAAAACATGAAGCTTAGTTTGCATTTTGGAATGATACAGTCAAATAATGGAGTAAAATGGCACCCATTCTTTGTGTGTGGCTTTTGGGTAATTCTACCTGCAACTGTTTAGCAAGTCGACAAACTAGGAACGAACCACTCTCCGAATTAGTAGATCCGTTGGGCTTGAGCAAGTGCACCTATTTGTGTAAGGAAGTGTGCAAGATTCTTGGAAGGCCCAGTAAAGCCACAAGGACGACTTAACTGTTCCAAGCTCAGTTTTCATACTTATCATCTATTGGTGTAGCTGTTCAAACTTATATGATGAAGGCTTCTTCTTCTGCCACTCGATGAGCGTAGAGAGAAAGAGTAAGAGTGTGCAAGATGACTGCATTTGCAGGCCTTTTCTCAGTGTTGGGAAGTACTTTAAGTACATTAAAGTGCTACTTCAAGAGAATTGAGAAAACTTTTACTTTATACTTGAAGTACATTCTCTGAGGATGTGCTTATACTTTGCTTAAATTATTATTTCTGGTACTTTCCGAGGAAGGTACAACTCCCAACTTCGAAGTACATTCCCCAAATTTTGTCTCGTTACATTTGTTTCACAAAATGAGGCTTTGTCAACTTTGAAGGATGACCGAGAGAGATATTCTACTCTCACCAGAAATGCGAGCAGACGACACATTTCTCCGGTTGTACTGGAGGCGCGGCTTTCTCACGGCCTTTTGAACTCTCGCTACTTCTTGCTTGGTCAGCACCAGCATAGGAATTAAAAATATTAGCTGTTGTTACCCTCATTTGGAACTTTGTCGAAGTGCAGATAAGGGCTCGCATTGACTTCGTCAGTGCGCACCGGACCCCCGGGGTTGACGTTTAAAGAAAAAAAAAAGAATAACCTGTGGTGATTGGCTGGTAAACTTTTCTAGCCAAGTTCAAGTGATTTTAGTGTACAAACTATTTGTGACCGCCTTAACCAGGGCCTTCAAAGCCGTCACAATTAAGCATCTCCCCTCCCCGGGTCACTAGACTCGGGCTGCTGTAGGCAAAACACGACCCGACTATGCACTTTGGCAAGAAATGTCTACAAAGGTGTGGAATAGAGTTCTTGAGACAGGTTTGCACTGAGCGAAGCGGAGAGGAAATATTGTTTCTGCAATGTTGACTATTTTTTTTACCGATTATCGCTAGCAATTTATTCGTGATGCGCAGAAATGAGGTCTTTGTGTAAATTAGCATCTGGCAGGCATGAGTATGGGCTTGGACACCCACCAGCACACCATCATGATCAGATTTGGCAATGTTTGTATTGACATCTGAATTAGTTGATGTTTTAGATGGGTGGGGTTTTGATATTTTCTTTGACTTACAAATAAAAGAGAGACAGTTCCTAAACAACTATATTTTATAAATCTATTGCGCAGTCAGTTAGTTCAACTATGAGCTTAGGGAAGGAACATGTGTCGCAATATATTGCTTTTCAACTTGCGAATGGGCGATCTTACTCACCATTAAAAGATCCTAAGGGAGGTCACTGTGTAAAAGGGTAAACTTTTGAACCTTGGGCTTAATATGAACAAAATTTACAATAAATTAACTAAAAAAAATTTGTTTATTGGTCAGAATATGGGGGCGGGGGGATGGGGGGGAGGGGGGGTGTTAAGGCCTATATTTGGAGTCGACCAATACGTGGCAATATATGGTAGTTTGACAGGGTAAAACAACTACTCTGTGGCCGCTTTACTTTATCTAATATTTGCTGCCATTTGCAAAAAAAGAAACAAAAAACTAATGCATCCCTATTACTCTTGGGGCAATGCATACCAGTCTAAAAGAAAAAAAAAACATTGTATAGGGGAATGAAAGATTTGTGTTAAAAATTAGTTGTATTTTACTTTAAAAGTATGTTCTATTTATAGTACTTTACTTCAAATACATTGCACCGAGTGTACTTACTACTTTACTCTCATTTTTTTTTTACTTAAACTAGTTTTTAGATGCACTCTACCCCACACACCCTTTTCTCTGCTCGGTTCAGCCCAAATATTCCGAAGCTCGGAACACATTTAGTTGAATTGTGCGTAACAGTCGTGCCTGTATGGTCGCCGACAGAGGGAAAACGGCGGGGGCATCTCTTTCGAACGCCCGGCCTCCAGCACGCGCGCATTGTCTTCCACTGCGCTTTGACGCGATCGATCACAATTGCGTGATCGATCGCGATCGATTGACGCAATCGATCACGAGCCTCCAAAACGTCTTCCGCGCGCCGGATGTGGGGCATCCGAAACTCTTACCCGCTGGTCTCATCCTGTCAATAACCGAAAGGACCCTAACCTTTCTTATTTTTCTTTCCTCATTGCGTTTGTGACATGTGCAGCCCAAGACCCTGAGGAAGCTGATCCAGGCTCAGTTCAAGAAGTGTTCCCAGCTGAGCGAGGACAAGTGCATGTTCCGGTTCCTGGAGCTGGTCCGGCCCGTGCTGCCCTACGACCGAGAGACCTTCCCGTGCGCGCTCGGGGTACGCACGAGCTTGACGCAAAAACAAGTTTGGCCGTATCGCTACGCTCGGCATGTTGGCTGAAGCTCGGCCTTCTACCGGCATGCCACCCGACGATTGGAAATTGGCCCACGTCATTCCTGTCTACAAATCCGGCAATTACAGCTCCCTCACAAATTACAGACTCGTATCTCTTACTTGTGTATCATGTAAATTACTCTAACTTATAATTTATTACGTTGTTGGAGGGGAATAACACACAGGGCGAGGACGAAGCGAAGGAATGTCGTAGAGGACGAGGACCGGACGAAACGTGGGCCGTCCGGTCCTCATCCTCTATGTCATTCTCCTCTAACACCGTAATTTCACCAGCATGCTCTATTTCCATGAGTATAATTTATTCTCAGACTATGAGATATCTTGTGAGTAACAATCTTCTTTCTCGAAATGAGCATGTTTGGAAAACGAAAGCCCGAAGCCAGTGGTTCCAGGCTTTTGTTTTTCTGTTTCAGTGGAACAATGAAATGAAATCGTGCTAGCACTGTGTTTTCCTCGCCCTCAGCTAAAATTGGCACCTACGGACTATACTCCGGGTCTAGACTATTTAAGGGAAATCTTTTTTTTTTTCGGCTGAAATCGGCCCTTGTCAACTATACACCAGGTGCGGACTGTAGTCCAGGAAATACAGTACTAGGGTACATGGCAGTGCGTGACAGTTGCTAGCAAACAATGCAAAGCAGTGTGCAAAGGTCAACAACGGTGCAAAACATTGCTACGATCGTAACAGTTCCGTTGTCTCGTCTTCTCGGAGACGGATGTGCGAACGTAAGGTTATCATTTCCGTACGCAAGCTGAGCATAGCGTCTCGTTTGAAGAGCGCTTTGTAAAGCGGGCGCGGCATTGAGTTTGCCAAATTGTTTTAGCACTTCTGAGTGACTTTTCTTTTTTTCTCTTCTTTGTGTCTCTTTCAGACTGGCTGGAGTGTTCCAGTGGAACTGGTGGTGAACCAGGAGCTTGGCATTGGCTATCTCACCGACCGCAAGGGACTGGTCAGTGTGCAGCCGCAGTATATTCTTTGGCATAAAACGACGATGTGCATAGTATCACGGTCCTTAGATAAGCTGCTTAGTCGCTTTGAAAACATTGGCACTTTCCGTTCTAGTAAATTTTGTCACCACAAGTGGCGTCAACTTACATAAAAATTAAAAAAGAAAGAATTGCAAATTTTTAATAATATTTTTGAAGCATGTGTAACACACTTCATATGGCATTTTAATTGTTTGGAAATAATATCACCCCTAGGTCATAAATATAAATGGCGTTTCCAATTGTCCACCTTTTTGACGTGTTCGTGGAGTTTTGAGAAAGAGTAGACGTTTCCAGTGATTCTCTCCACGGCTGCTTCCCCAAACTTACGTCCTTCAGTTAGGTTCTTCGAGCGATCTGATTGGTCTACTACCCTTTACGTTGGCAGCGAGCCTCTGGTGTTTTAGTTTTTCTCTAGAGGGAAAACTTTCCGTCACGTGACGAAAAGATTCCAGACAGGAGCAACCCTGGAATTGTGGGGCAAAAACGTCACTGTGGCAAGCCAGGATTGGCCAAAGGGCACTATGATGTTTTAGTAGGATGGCAGTTTTTTTGTCGTTTTATTCTGCCTTCATTGACGGAATTAAGAGCAGCTCCAGACTGTCGACTTTCACGGTGTTGGTGTTATCAGCATGGTGGCTTCAAGCTTTCGCCACACTCATTACACATGCCATCGAGCTTGTCGTTCGCATATGATAATCCCAGTCGTACAGTCGCACTGCCCGTACATCATACAAAAGACGCGGCGTTCACCACAGATGTAACGACAGAATCTTCTGCAGCCACGCCTTGAGCATCTGCAAAGCACTCTCTCTTCGTACATGTGTACACCTTCGAATGTGGTTGCAGATGGTTTTTGCACGACCAATATGGAAGGACTGTCGCGGGGCACCGTTGCATTGGGGCTTGGCGTGCAGGTGAGGTCGCGCGCCGCACAGCCTTGAAAACGTGTGCACGCGAATGAGGACGGTTCCTCTAGCTCCTGTCCCGCTGCGCCATCTCGCGGTGTTTGTTGGGAACAGAAGTGAACCTTCTACCCACTTGCTCCACAGCAAGGTGGCGCCCCAGCAAGTGCAGATGCACCTATATATCCTTTGGACCCAAAAAGTGCTTTATGGCTCTTTTTGACAGTGGCTCGGTCAAGATTATTCTTCTCTACCCTTACAGACCAACCACATTGCCAACTTCCAGCAAGTGCAGAGCATACAGACCATTGTAAACGACGCTAGTCCCAAACCCGTCCTCCAGCTCAAGATTGCCGGGGCTTCGGAGGTGAGGCTTCCTCCCTTGTTTCGTTTGTTTTTTTGTTTGTTTGCATCAAGGTGTAGCAGCAGTCAACATTTTTAGTGCCGATTATCGCAGCCTCAGACTCGCTAGTCTGTGTCACCTGAGCAATTCGCAACTTATATTCTTGCTGTAAAATTGTGCGAGTGTCTTTTGGATGTTGGAGTTGCGCAGGATGGATCTATGACCGACGGGTTGTTATGTCAGAGTGTGTGAAAAAGCAGAAGTTTGAAACTGGAAAAGCTCACAATGCAACTGAGCCATTGTTGTCTGTTGAAGACATATCCTTCGTGCGAAGAAAAAACAGTGAGGTGACTTTCAAAGCTTGGTTTTGAGCTTTGGTGGCTTGTGCTAAATTTAGTGTACTCCACTTTGTACATTAAATATTTTTCTAGAAACATTAAAAAAAAAAAAAAGAATTGGGCATCGTGTTGAGTGCCCTAAAAGGTTGCAACATGTTAGACCAAACAATCTTTAATTTTCATTCTTTTCTCAAATTTTTTTATGTGTGAAGTAGAGCACTGAAATACCCCGAGAGACGCCCTACTCCCATAGATGACCCATCCTCATTTTTGGCACGGTTTTCTATTTTTTTTTTGTAACATTGAAAGATAGCCTATTTTTAGTAATTGCAGGGCCCTGCCAATGGTGACCTTGGCAGAAATGGTGTTACTTAGTCACGGCTGGAGATAAGCGAACATTGCTGACTGGGAACAGCAGTCGAATTTGGTTCATCGGAAAGATGAATCAAATTCAACCTGCACATCTCGGCTCCTCCCTGCGATCACAAGTTTCACAGGCCGCAGAATCTAAAACTGCAAAAATGCTCTAAAAGCCGGGATTCATAATGATAAAGCGAACTGCACCGGCTCGGCAATTAACAATATTAACAATTTAATTGGACGTTTCGTCTCCCATGCGGGAGACATTATCAGTGCGTGTTCAGGGACACGAATGGGAGGAGTACAGAAATTAGATGACATCCGCATACACTTCAAGGAGGGGCCTCGGTTCGCATAGCAGGCAGATGCGTCGCTACGTATGCACCACGACTCCAGAAACTTTCATGGGCCCCCACCTTTCGTGGGCCCCACTAATCTAAAACTAGCACTTTTCACCTTTTCTTTATTGCACACCAGGACTTAGCCCACTCCTTTTTTTCACCCGATTTGCTTTTGATCTTAGGTGGGGTATCTCTCAGGATATTACGGTAAAAAAAGACAATAATACTTATAATGATACGAGTTTTGGTACCACATATTTTACATTTCGAGTTGGGTTCGAGAAGTTGTGGATGTTATAGTGCAATGGTTCTCAAAGGGGGGTCTGCGGACCCTTTGTGTTATCTGAAGGCCTTCTTAGGGTCCCCAAAACCCTTAGCCACCAAAGCAATAATTTTTTTTTTTTTTCAATTGATGTTGATTGTTTTACATGAGCATCAGATGAGTAGGGTTGATTAATCTATATTTCAGAGCTTTGAAGTTGGCTTGCATGCATTTAGTTTTCTTTGCCCTTTTGTCATTGTAATCATCATTTATTCCCCCCCCTCCCCAATGGGGGCGTTCGCCGTCACTTCTGCCGATCGAGAAGAAGTCCCCAAAAGACCGGTGGTTGGCAACCGCTGTTATAGTGAAATGGAACGTGGTGGAAGTTTCTAAACCACTCCAACATTACAAGTAGCAACTGGATACTGTCAAAGTGAGAATTCGTATAACGAGAGTAATGTTTGAAGGCACCTGTATTGAAGCGATCGTTAGCAGATGACGGGGGAAGATGCTCCCCCGACGCTTCTCCGTCACTGCACCGTTATTGGCGGTTCGTCGGGGCTCTCCTCTCTTCCCTCGTCCAGTGGGGCGGCCAATAGAAACACCCTACTTCTCTCTCCTCGCGCCACGAGGGGAGAGATGAAGGTTTTTTGATCTCTGCCGCAACGACAGGCGACTATAAATTCCGGCACTGAAATCATCACAAAATGTTGCCTGTAAAGCTATCGCTTTAAAATATTAACGTTAGCTCTTCACGCTAATCCTCTCAGTGTCAGTTGCTCTGGCTTCAACGCCGTATCTATAGTAGGGCTTGGATCATATCCTTTAAATCAACGGTGAACTCAGCAAATTGAAATCTTGCATCGGGTTCGGTCGGCAGGAACATCGGTGAAATGCTAATCACAACCAACTAGAAAAAAGCTAATCTCGACTACCTGCTACATTCCAGGTGCTGAGCATCTCCTGCCCGTCATTAGCGATTGCAGAGAGCATCGCCGATCTCGTCGACGGATACTGCCGCCTGATTCAGGGCACCCAGGCGTCTTTCTGGACCAGGAAAGGTACGCCCAGCGTCGGCGTCTGCCACAGTCGCCGACGGAATGAGCACGGCAGGGAAGAGTTTCATTTGTCAGGCCTCCAGCCTGAGCTGCAGAACAAAATGAAGTTCGTTCGCCCGGCAAAACAAACAGCAAAACAGAATTAAGTTTGTTCGTCCGGCAAAAAAGTCGTCCAATGTCGACCATTAGCCCCGTTGAGTGCGCTTCTTACCGACCACCGGTGCACTGCGGAGAAGCAACACTTGCAGCAGCGAGCTCTGCGGGTGTTAATTCTCCGCCATGCACGGGTGCTTGGAAAGCAGCACGCTCAACGGGGCCGTAAGAACAAAAAGTATGAATTATACGAAGACGCCACTCGAATTAACCCTCTGATGGTTGTTGCCGTGCATGTATGACGGTGATTGCACATTTGAAAGCGCCCACCTAAATGCAAAACTAGGCACACTTTAGGAGGTGTTGCTATTTGTTATGTCTTTGGTGAACTATATAAGCATCATATTCACACAGTGTTTCACTTTGCTGGGCAATTTATAGTTTTCAAATGAGGCGCTCCGTGCATGTGATGCTCGCTTTGCATACCAGCGCTCCCATTGGCACTGCCGATGGGAGCGCTGGCTCTTCCGCCTCAGACTTCCAACGCTTTCCGGAATTAAATTCAGAGTATGAGAGCTCGTCATCAAACGGAGAAGCTCTGTAAAGTACCTCCGGTTAGGAATCTGAAGCCGCTGGAATGTCGTGGAAGCAGATGCGCCAAAATAAGACCGAAATGAAGAAAGGTGACAACTTTTCGCCTTCTGTATTTTATATTTGACACTTAAGCCTAAACGGCATGCAAGCACTGTACATATCACTAAATAATTAAGGAAAAACTCGTGCATGGACTTTTTCTCCACCTATTTCTTTGGAAACAAAACCCAACCACTGAGAAGCACCTTTTGGGGAAAAAAACTTGACCGTCAGAAGGTTAAACGGCTTATAAATACATTAAAAGCAGCAGGGCAACAAAATATTTTAAATAGGAGTACTAAATATCCGAGTTTGAATCGTTGCGAGCGTACTCTAACAGGCTGTTTTCCCAATTTCACCAAGTGTAAACAAAGCCCAGGTGTCTGCCTTCTCACAGAGCATGTGGTGGGTTAACCATTGCGTTTTATGGAAGCAGATCGCAAATCTTTGCGATGCCGGTAATGCGCTCAGAAATACTATCGCCGCTGCGACTTTATGCTTGAATATGTCGCAGTGCAGGCAAATTTTTGGGGGGATTCTTTTTTTGCTCGGCTTCTTCTGCAAGTGGAAATGCTTGTTTGCTGTGTTTTTGGCGGCAATGTAGTATGTGCGGCAATGTATGTTTTACCGATGAAAGGGTCAAAATACATTTGACAAAATATGTTACTATGTCTGTGTTGCGCTGGCTAGATGCCGCACCCGTGTCGTCTGAATGTGGCTGTCAGTGTGGCTGTGCTGAAATACTAACAAAGTGTAGCTCGGCTCTGTTTTTTCTAGCGGTCTTGGCCATGGTCCAGAAAGTTAGACACAGCAATTTTTGATTGAACTCGCACATTGTTGCAGTGAATCTTTCTTGTGTATAAAACTAAATGCCTGAAATTCTGGGAGAGCTGGTTGAAATCTTCACCTATAAGAACTATGTACTTCAAAATATGCTAAACAACTTGAAACAGATGACGGCAAGGGAAATTACGCAGATGATGCGCTGTTATCGAAGCCTGTTTAGAACCACTTTGTGCGTTTCCTACTTGTGTCTTTGCAACCATTCATTAAATTTGTAAGTTGCCTCCTTCTCTAATTTACCGTGGCCTCTACAGTTTAGCTTTTAGAAGTTTCAGATTTGTCTTTTAGACTATTTTGTCGTTACCGACTGACAAAGCTAACTTGTGTCATAAATCTGTGAGATTGACAAAGTGCCAAACCAGAATGACTGTTCTTACTGTGCTCCTGTATCTTAAGGGGAAACTAGACAATGAAAGTCGGTTGCTTCTCTTTTTTATTACTTCCAGAATGAGAGCAAACAAATTAGGCTTGCTCAGGAAAGCATTGCTATCATTTCAACACAAAAAACAGTAATTGGGCCCTGTCAAGCAGTTTCAGAGTTACACATGTGCACTTCAAATTAATGACTAATTAATTAAAAACAATTTTGTAGGTGGCCTCAGTTCTTGATGCGCAGCTCTCCAAGGACATTCAAACTTTGCCTTAAAGCTATTTATGTGGATGTTTGGTTTTTATTATAATTTAATGAGCAATTTTTAGAGCAGTACTTGAGTACCATTTATTGCGAACATTTTGTTTGTTTTTGTTAGATAATGTCAATTCCAAAACCAAGCTGTAACACATTTTAACATCAGGCAGATCTTTTTGGACACGAGGGCATCAACAACAATGGCCTTCTACTGAAACACTTGAATTTATCGAGCAATGTGTAGTTTGTGTAACTTTGAAACTAACTGAGATAGTCAAAGTATTTCTGTTCAATAAAACATGGCAGTCCGTACGAGCATGCATAATGTATAAGGCTGCAATAATTCTTGTTTTAGTTGCCTGACAAATTAAGGAGTCAACCCTTATTTTAAGTCGTGTTGCCTGGCTCGAGTTGCCGTGGACGCTTCAGCTGAATTGTGTGTGCTTCATCTGTGCCGTCGTGCTTGTGAAGATGCTTGCCAACTAACTGCTGCTAACCACCGTTGCTAACCATGTGCTTTGTCCGCATAGAAGCTGCTGAGGAAACGGAACCAGGTTTGTGGCTTTGTCTGTCCTGTTTTTGTCTGTGTTCGGATGTCATTTAATTAGTCACGTGTGCTGTCATGCTCGTCCTGAGAGGCACAACTCAATTATAATGTGTGCAGTTTGTAAAAAGGCAGAAGTACAAAAGTTGTGCTGCATGTAACTTGACAAAGGCTAAACTTGTATATTTAAGAAATTGGGAACAAATGGACCTTGATGGATGTTAGGAACGACAAGAGTAAATCCATTTCAGTTTCAATATAATTTATTTAATCCATTTAGTTTTGATAGTGTGTATCAGGCACGTAGCCAGGGGGGAGGCCCATGGGGCCCAGATCCCCCCCCCCACCCCCCCGAAATCTTCCATTGTGCTGGGACCTCCTCTCCCCCCTCCCCCTCATACAGCATTTTGTCATGGGTGGGCCCCCCCCCCCCCCCCCCGAAACAAAATCCTGGCTACGTGCCTGGTGTGTATGTAGGTTCATTTTTGGAGGGAGCTATTGGATGAACATCAGTGGCACCGTTACTGATAAAACAAAGCAATGAAATGTTTAATACTCAAATGACAAGGGCAGAAATTTTAGTGTGTGCAAATTCAAGTTGGTGAATCAAAAAATAATTTAATTTTTAATAAAGCGTGGCAAATATGACAAATAGCAGACTTGTCATTTTTTTCTAGAAATATTCTTGCTACGAAATAAATAAATAGAAGCATGGAACACTTACACAATAGATTGAATGTAGGTTTTAAGCAAACATATATCGTTTTATATAACATTTAGGATAGTCAGTGACTTTTGGGGAAAAATGCTAATGTGGAAGTATTATTATAACTTTATTAGTGTTCACACTGAGGTGCTTTACTTCTCTGTTTTCAGATGCACATCCACCTAAATACAGGTAAGGTTCAACTTTGGCTTTTTTTAATTTTTTTTACATCTCCAAAACACTGCCTGAAATCTACTTGGTCTGAACACTGTCAACACAACAACATGGCAGTCAATAAAGTGCGTAATGAGCTTCAGTATTGTTTGAGCGAGTCAGCTAAAGGGGACATTTTAATAAGGTTGAATTTCATTTGTTGTTCTTATAGTCATTCATAAATCTACCTTGAACCCTAAATTGACTGATTTTCATTATGACATCTACCTAGTAGGGTTTCAAAGTAATTCATTCTTGGCATTGCAGGGTATAATCAATCCTATATCGTGCTACTTGCAAGTACTATACGATTTGAATGGGGCATTTAATGTCCAGCCATACCTTGGGCCATTACGGGTTTCTCTTTCCTAAGGCTTATTTGGGGGGCCGAATTTTACAGGTCAGGCTTCAAGCACAGGAATCATTCCAGTTCGGCCGACGCCAAGAAACATGGTGTATCGGGTAAGCCGAAATCCGAGCAATATTTGCCAAATGCAACAAAATTAAAAAAAAAAAAAAAAAAAATTTTTTTTTATTTGCAGAGGATTATGCAGAGATTGTGGATGAAGAAGGAGATTATTCAACACCAGCAAGTGAGCTCTTCCTTATTTCTGGCGTAAAAACACTTGTTTCAAATTTCACTAGAAAAAGCATTGGGTATTGGTTGCTTGACCAGGTGTCACAACTGTCTGCTGCGTGACGCTAGAAACTGTTTACATATTATCAGGGCGGTCGTATTAACTATCTAGTCACTCTTTACCTTTGACTGTCACGAGGCAAGCACTATGTAAGCGGAGTTTACGCTATTATCAAGTACTACTTTGCAGCCTAATTGTTCTCTTCCCTGTGCAGCCAAAGACTACGAGCTGTGCCGGTCAAACATCGTGCTGGGCGACATCATCGGAGAAGGGCAGTTTGGAGACGTCCACAAGGGCACCTACGTTCTGAAGGTGGGCATTGGCCTTTGGAGGTCTCTAGCATTTGTTTAGGCCAATGTTGTTTGACTATGTTAATGTTGGCTTATGTTAATGTTCTTAGATTGTTTATGTTAATTCTGCTGGTTTATGTTAATTCTGCGTATGTTAATGTTTGTTTATTTGAACAGTGTATGGTTATGTAAATGTTAGCATATGTTAATGCAATTTGTTTATGTTTTCCTTGTTTATGTTAATGTATGTCTGTTTATGTTAATTTATTTTTGTTTACATTAATGTTGTTTGCTTATGTTAATGTTGCTTGTTTCTGTTCTGGGCGTAGGCAGACAACCAAGTTGTGCCGGTGGCAATCAAGACCTGCAAAGTGGAGACGGAGGAGGCGATGGGAGAGAAATTCCTCGAAGAGGCCTGTGAGTTTTTGCAGTGACCGTACGTAGGGCCAGATGTTTTTGGGTAGAGACTGACTTCACGCAGTGACTATGCTTTGAATAGGTGTATGAAAAGTGTAATGGAAACTAGATTATTTCTGTAATTAATGAATTGGCAGGCACGATAGGGTATATAAAGCTCGAGCTTTATGTACCGACTCGGTGCTGACTTTGTGCTATTGCACAGCTCTGAAATGCATGCGTGAACTGGTCTTTAGGGCTGGCTTTAGGAGCTTGGCTACTTATAGGCTTTGCCTGATCTTCTAAAACCTGTCTTTCTGCCACTTTCAGACATCATGCAGCAGTTCGACCACCCCCACATCATCAGGCTGGTCGGCATCTGCTCTGACTCTCCGATCTGGATAGTCATGGAGCTCGCCAAACACGGAGAGGTCTGTGGACGCTCCTGCGATCACGTCTGGTTTTAGGGGCGAAGCTCCTTAGAGGCTAGCCATGTCCGTATGTCCGTCCACTGTCGGGTGCATGTGCTCCTGCTCGTAAGCTCACGTGCTCACGAGAACACAAGCACGTGCTCCGGTGCTCGTGTAAAAAAAAAAAAGACCGCATCTCCACGTGTTGAATGATGTTGATTGGGGCGGAGCTCTGGTGGTGCTTGTCTGCGTAGACGGTGAGCCACAGCATGCCGAGCCTTTTGTTCGTTTTCACTCATGTCAGAAAGAAGATGTGTGGTATGGAACGTGGTTATATACGCATTTGAGCATTTGACCGCAGCGTGACATGGATTGAAAATGAACGAAAGGCTCGGCATGCTGCGGCTCAGCGTCTACGCAGACAAGCACCATCAGAGCTTCGCCCCAATCAACATCATTCACCACGTGGAGATGCGGTTGTTTTTGGGATTAAATCGTAATTAAGCTCGATTGCGAGAATGCGTTGCTTTCATCATCATCCTGTTGCTGTCGTGATCTTGAGAAGCTAGAAGGGCAACAACATGGTTGACGTGTGCCACATGATAGACATTTTTGAGACATCTACTTTTAAGGTCCATGCAGGGATGGATTTATGGTTTAGGCCTGGGGCTTGGAGGGCAAAGGGAGGGGGGTGGTTGTTCTGCTCAGAGGTTGGACGTCACGGACAGATGTGACGTCAGTGGGAAAGCATTGCCCTGGTCTATTTTTGTTGATTTAATATTTGTCATTTCACCAAGAACTAAACATTTCTTCCTTAAAGAAGTTGGTGGATGTCATTTTTTTTTTTTTCATAAAGAAAGTTGCTCTTGAGAGTTTCAGGGAGTAGCAATTTTCCCCCGCCCCCTTAGCTCTGCCCCTGAATCGATGTGTATCACGTGATGCACATGTTTCATTAGGAAAATTGTGAAACAGTCTAATTAATAGATGGGGGCAAGGGGGACGTAGTAAATGTTTTCAAAATAATTGATCTTAGACTGTAGAAGAAGGGAGGAGATCGGTTCATTTTCTATTTACCGGAAAACACCGAGCATGTGCTCGTGTCACAGTAAGCGCCCACACGCCACTTATGAAATGTTCAAAAATTAAGCGCCCAGACTTCTGACCACACCTAGCTAATTGAGATGCTCCCATACGTCGGCCGCAGCGTGCCACCACAGTGCAACGAAGCTTGATGCGCACATGCTGGTGCTAAGCGGTGAAGCCCACCCTACTTTCTTCCCTTCCTGCCTTTTTTACTTTTAAACCTAACAAGCACCCATCCCCCAGCTTATCCAGATTATCTCCATCTTTGGGGTGGGTGCTTGCTCGGTATCTCACAGTAAACGATTTCTGGAGCACAGTATTATCTGCCTGGATCAGATCTCAGTTAGTAGTATTGTCAGCTATCTGATAGGTCCATAAACTTTAAAAATCATGGTGTCCTTTTAAGACCCCAAAGTCTACCTGTGCACTCTGCAGCTCCCAGATTCCCTCGCACAAACAAAAGCGTACAAGCTCGTGACTGGGGGCGTTGCACACTGCAGATGCGAGCCTACCTGCAGAGCAACAAGCACCGGCTAGACCTGGCCACCTTGATCCAGTACGCCTACCAACTGAGCACTGCTCTCTCGTACCTCGAGAGCAAGAAGTTTGTGCACAGGTAAGCGCGCTGGTTCTCTCCGTTTCGTAAACAAATAACAGAAAACATGCAGGTGCTCCGGTGAACCTTCAACGTCTCGAAAACCTGAGATCGAGGACCGAAAAAGGGGGGGACGGCACTTGTGTGTGCGTCGTCCCCCTTCTCCATTTCTCGGTCTCGGGTTTTCTAGACGTCGATTCGTCGGACACTGATTGTCGGCCAGACACGGCGCTAAACGAAGCGGAATCCGAACCGAGATCGTTTTTGCACTCGTTAACTCTTTTACGAATGAGCTTACCTCGCCTGAAACACTCGAAAACTTTGGGACGCAAATGCCCGTCGTCGTCATTTACGAAAAGGGAACGACGAATGATGAGGCTCCGACAATGTTCCAGCTTGAGAACGAGATTCGTGGTGGTATTTAATTTGTCATTGGTGCCTCGCTATTCGCCAGCATCTTTTTGTGCATAGCAGCGATTGGCCGTCCGTGGGCTCTGCAGTAATGCAGATGCGCAGGCTTTGCTTATAGAAAAGCTTGTACCATCTGCAGGACTCTGCAGTGCTAGTTATTAAGAAATTGAATAAACTTTACCGATTTATTAATGCAGGATGTGTTATGTGACTGGCGCCTAACCATATCCAGTTGGGTGTTAGTGATGGGAGTCGACGGGCACCGATGCAGTGATCGCCTCCTCGCTGAATGGATGCTAGTAGCGGCTGAAGAGTTACTCCCGGCGGGGGTGAAACATTGCTTGTTTAGACCTACGGTGGTGCTCTGCTTCGTGAAACGAGCGCGCTTTGGGCTGTCCCAGCGAAAGAGTGCAAGGGAGAGCGACAGAAGGAAAAAGTTGAGCAGTCCTGCATTAATCTGAGTTTCAGGCGAGGAGGACAACAACACGATTGACGGGTGCCAGATGATAGGCATTTTTAAGATTCTACTTTTAAGATCCGCTGTAGGGATGGATTTATGGGTCAGGCTTGGGGCTCGGTGGGGGCATGGCCACAGCAATAGCTGCGACACGTCGCAGCGAAGTCGTTGGGCGTCAGAGTTGTGTTCACGCACCATGGGGCAGTGGGGTGCGCGAACATAAGTGTTCGGAACAGAGTAAACATATGTTTTGTTCCAAATGCTTTTGTTTTACATTTTGTTCTGGACGCTTTTGTTTCTTTTTTGTTGTGAAGCACGTGAATGTGTGTTTGTTGGCACGAGCTCTTGGCATTGACAGTGCTACAACAATGTTTTGTTAGAGGCTAGTATTTTTTTCCTAAAGAGCACGTACAAAACCCCCAAGTTTAGAGCATAGAACGTCCCAGCTTCACGCACGGTGGACCCCCGGGTTCAATTCTGGCGGGCGACGGCGGGCACTCTTCTTTAAGGATTTAGCAGCATCAACGACGGCCGCCCTACATTGCCAACTACAACATAAACAACTACTACAACAACAGCTATGACATCAATAATAGACATCCTTTCCACTGGTGGGAGGAACCCATAACAGCTATCGCTGTAAAACAAAAAAGCAGACTCCTTTGTCGCAATACGTTGAGGTAGTTCCAAGCGTTTGGTTCTCTTTTGCCACGAGCTGGTGTCAATTGTTCTGTTTACCGCACGCTCAGTCTACAGCATCTCGCACTCTAACAGGCTCTGAGAAAGTCGCATATACATTGCACCCGCAGAAGATGGCACCCACAAGTAAGTCATCCACGGGGCGCTCACACACACTTCTCTTGCACGACATGGGGCTGCTTTGCATGTGTACACAGTTTCTCCACACTAAAACATAACATTCTGTGATACCTCTGCCTTCGCCACACTAGTACAACAAAACGGCAACTTTTTTGTATTGTGAAACATTCTTTGTGTAGGTGTTCAACATTTCCTGAAGCCCAGATAGAATTGAAACCCAGATAAAGGCGTGACCTCGAGGCCCAACACTGATTGACTGACGGGTGGGAGAGGATCGACACCGATTGGTTAATAGGGAGGTCATGTGACCAGAGACGTAGACGAGGAGCTCAACCACCTGTGTGCATTGAAGGAGAGCAGCTGGAGAGTATGAAAGGCCACGGCGTTAAAGGGACCATGAAGGCAGTTTCGAAGTTTTATTCGACGATTGAAATGGATGTCAGGCACATCTCAGATACTGTTGACCAAGTTCTAGCCCGAACAGAAGTTTGGGTGCCGCACCAATCGAGCAAACAGGCGCGGTAATAATAGCGCCGGGAACGATGCCTGAGACCCCACCGAGGCGGCGGCAGAAAGGTGAACTAAAGTGCGCCGTCGAAGCGTGACGACAACAGGCTCATCGTTTGGCGATTGGTTCAAACGATAGACGTGCTCTTGGTTTCGATTTCGGTGGTGAGATGTGATGAAAAAAGTTTATTTGAACATTGGATAATCTTTTGAAGTTGTATTTGGGAATTAATAGGTTTCATACCGTGTATAAAAGCATAATCTGAAGCGATCCCTCCGTTTGTCACTGGTTGAACGCATCCCGCACTGCTGCCTCGGGCGCATAACAAGCATCGAGCAACCATGGGCAAAAAAAAGAAGAAAAAGGCTCGAGTGCTGGGGGCGGCGGACTCTTGGTTTTGGTTTCGTGCGTCGTCTCGTGTTCGCTTTGCGAACTGGTGTCTCACCAATCATGCCGCGTTTATGTGCAGTAGTAGGTTGCGCGAAAGGTCGGCTAAAGACGTGCGGTCGATCGGGCGACATTAGTTTGCATAAACTGCCGACCGATGCTGCAATGTGCAGCATTTGGTTGTGCGCCGTCGTCTTGCGTAGGGCTGTGGACAGCGGTGTCAGGATTTGTTCGTTGCATTTCTGACCAGAAGACTTTGAGCAGCACCTTCACGTCAGCCGGAGTTTGGGTAAAAACATGAAGTTCCCGCGTCTGAGGAAAGCGCAGCGTTGTCGTCCATTTCTTCCAGGTTTTCTTCACAGACCGCAGTGCACTAGAGCAAACCACAGGAGCCACACTGAGTGTGCACTAAATCCTACCGATGCCGACAGTGCTCCCTGACGTCACTTCTCTTTCCAGAGGCGGAATAGGAAAGAAATCTGAATGTTTGTTTCGGTTTCGCAAATTTATTTGCAGGTACAGAAATAAGAGTCACAACGTTCTAGAAAAAATTGTGTGGCATGCCAGGACCCCAATGCTTCCGAAAACACCTTCTCTTTTAAAAAAAATTAAATTGCCTTCATGGTGCCTTTAATAACCTGCTTTGTATTTCAGGTTTTTGTAGTACCTGATGACCACTACACATGCTTCTTGGGGAAAAAAAAAATAGCCGATAACAACATGCCGTTGTAGCACTGTCAATGCCAACAGCTCGTGTGGGAGATGCATGTTCACATGCTTTGGAACAAAAAAGAAACAAAAGCATTCGGAATTTGTAGTACCCCCCTGCCGACTGTATGCACGCTCTAAAAAAAAAAAAAATAATAACTGGTAACAAAATCTCGTCATAACTCTGTCAATGTCAAGAGCTTGTGCCAGGAGAGGGGCTGTCACGCGCTCTGGAGCAAAAAAGAAACAAAAGTTCGGAACAAAATGGTCGGATGTTTTTTTTGTTCCAAACGCTTTTGTTCACGCGCCTTACAGTGCCGAAGCCCAAGAACTTTGCCGTGACGTGTCGCAGCTATCACTCTGACTGTACTGTAAATTAACACAGGATTACTCAATTTGTTTATGGTACTGCATTAGTCGGACTGCTTGGTGAGGTCTTGCTTGTGGCAACTCAATCATGGCCGTCTCGCAGGGACATAGCGGCACGCAACGTCCTGGTCTCGTCTCACGACTGCGTGAAGCTGGGGGACTTTGGGCTGTCGCGTTGGGTGGAGGACCACTCGTACTACAAGGCGTCGCGGGGAAAGCTGCCCATCAAGTGGATGGCGCCCGAATCCATCAACTTCCGGCGCTTCACCGCCGCCAGCGACGTCTGGATGTTCGGTGAGCGAGGGGCGGCTGGCGTTGCCGTTTCACTCGCGCATCGTGGGTGGGGTATATCTCCCTTTGCATACTGCATCCTACTAAGCCATTGCTAGTTGTTATCTTTGGCTTAATTAATGTCCAGCCCTAGTTTTTAGGTTTAGCCCTAGGATTTTTATTTTTTATCTGACCTTATCTTTCTTCATTTCAAATTATACAATTAGCTGCCTCATCCAATGCGGTAAAGTAATTAACTCCCGACGAGACATATGATTTCTTCTCTGTTCAGTATTTAATGGGCTACTCCTGTCGAAATTGCCATCCCCTTGCAATGGCTCACAAAATGGCCTGTGAGACTAGTGTTCTGAAAGATCAGCGTGTCTCGAGATCATTGTGTCGAGATACTAAGTATGAAGCCGATCAATCTGTGGAACGCAATCAGTGTGTAAAGAGAGGCAGCTGTGCAAGGAGGGATCAGCGTGTTGACTGAGATCAACATATCGAGAAGGGCCATTGTGACGACGGACATTAGTATGACGAGAGAAATCAATGCTGCGAGAGAAGTCAGCGTGTTTTCTGGAACCGAGATGCCTCACTCTTATCACTTTTTTTTCTCTTTGGTGACCACAGGTGTGTGCATGTGGGAGATCCTGATGCTGGGGGTGAAGCCCTTCCAGGGAGTGAAGAACAATGACGTGATTGGGCGCATCGAGGACGGGGAGAGGCTGCCTCTGCCCCCCGACTGCCCACCCCGCCTGTACAGCCTCATGTCCCAGTGCTGGTCGTACGAACCGTCCAAGCGGCCCTGCTTCAGGGACGTCAAGCAGGTGCTCAGGTGAGCCGCCCGCGCGCGTGCCCAACTAACCGTATGGTTTGTAGGCCAGTGTTCATAAGCGCATTGTCGGATTTCTCGAACGAGGTTTGAAATGCGTGGCATTTGCGGGGTCAGCTCTTGGGGCTTTTTGTGTCTGCAGATATGGCTTTGGTGATGTCAAATATCACACGACACCCTGACAAATGTGACACGCTGACGGCTTTGCATATTTGCAAAACCCTCATAAAGTGCCCTTGGCGGCCTCCTTACTGTGCCTGTGAAAGGAGGAGATGCGAAGGGGGCTCCTTAAATGCTCTGCATTTACAATGCTTTAGGGACATTCCAAAGAGATGGCCAGCTTTTTTTATGGAAGTGCATAACCCAAGTTGCGTCTGCATCTCTAACGCAAGTTCTTACAATCTCCAGCGAAATCCTGTCCGAGGAACGAAGGCAGCTGGAGGACACCATGCGCAGGGAAAATCGCCGAGTTCAAGCCATGTCCTGGGGTGAGACTTTGCTGCCTCTCACAGATATGCCCCTTTGTTGGAACACCATTTGTACCGCAATAACTCTATGGATGGCCCGCTGCCCGCAAGAACCCCAAGAAGGAGATAAGTGAAGGACATCACAAACACAAAGTCTCAAACGTAGCTGTGTTTGAGACCTTGTGTTTGTTCTGTCCTCTCTTGTCTCGGTCTCGGGGCTCTACGTAATTAAGTTATCTACGAGTGGTTGGCGTTTTGGTGTGTGAGCACGAAATGACATTTAGTTAAGAACAACTCGAAACAATGGGAAAACAGGCCATTTCCACTCTTATTTTGATTGTCCAGAAGTCCACATGCCTTTATATCTGGGGTTTGAGATACACCAACATTAATAAATCTTGAATTGGCCACAGAGGGGAGCTTACCAGACTTTTTAATGTATTGTTAAAGTGAGGCAGTCGAAGGAATAATCTATTTTAAGCGCACTTACATTACATTAGACGTAATTAGTAACCTTATCTTGGGGGACCACTGGCCAAGTGTGTTAGTATGCCACAGCTTGGAGCCCGCGGAATGAAAGCCTGCGCTGCAGAATCCAGAGATCCTGGGTTTAATATCGACTCCTGCCCATTTCGATCTGGATTAGCATCGTACCGGTGTGCGGTCATGCATCACTACTGCGTGGTGCACGTTAAAGACCCCCGTCTGGAAATGTATTGCACTGGTGAAATTTTCGGATCTACGGCGTAAGCTAGTGTCGCTGCAACTCAAAACCAGACCAACCTTTATTTTTTTTTTTTTTTTGTCTTTTTTCTTTTAAGAGTTTTTGAAAAAAAAAAAAAAAAAAGTGGGAAAAGGGAAAAACATGGAACTGTTAATATAGTAGCACATTTTACAGCAATAGCTCTTATGGGCTCTTCTCACCCCTGGAAATGACGTCCGTTTTTGAGGTTGTAGTTGTTTGTGTTGTAGCTGTTGTCGTGGTTGTTGACGTTGCAGTTAACGTAGTGGGGCGTTCGTCGTCGTCACTGCCATATCCTCGAAAAAGATTGCCCGCCGCCCGCAGGAACTGAACCTGGGTCAGCCGCGTGCACAGCAAAGACGTTACCACAGAACTACGCCACAGCGTTAACAACCCCGCTTTATACACCTTTTCCGTCTAACCTCGACCCAGCGCGTAACGTGCGTAGCCTCGACTCGGCGACTCGTCGCACAGCGGGAATAGTTCTTCCGGTTCTAACACTTCCGGTATGCGGGAGCAGGCCTAGCCGGCTGGCAAGATGCTGAAGTGGTGCGCGTTAAATGGGGTTTGAAGCCCTTGACAGCGAAGTGAGTTGTAATAAGGTGGGTTAATACGTCGATGTATCATGTCCGCGCATATTTGGTCATCGGGCTGCCACTGCGCAGTCGTTGGCTGCAGCAGCAATTTCCGAAAACGGAAGATAGCGCGCGACAAATTGTGCACCGAACACAAGAAGATCGCAAAGCGAATGCGGCTGTAACGTATAACCTATAGGTGACATTCACTTGACGTCACTCGCGAGGTGCGCTGGCATTGGCCACCACGGTCGCCATCTTCGAGGTCTGCTTTTATCCCACGTTGGTGTCAGGTGCCGTCTGGCCGGACCTTTCAGCGTGGGATAGCAACATTTTACAACTTTAAAGGGTCTTTTTGGCCGAAACTATGGGTTATTTTTAGACTTTGGTGCTTTTAAATCGCCGTGGGAATATTTTTTGTGTGTGATTTAGTTCATTTTTGTCGCTATCGGACCTTTCCGCCGCGGCCGCATTGCTCCATCGGCTCAATAGGGAGTTTTCGTAGATCGTTTCCGCCGTCCCGCAAGGTCCCTCCGCAACCCGCTACGATAGCGGGAACTCCACAGTCAAGCCTATCGGCGCGCAGGCGCAGTAGCAACTTCTTCGTTGCGGAACGCTTAGCGGAAGGGGCAGCGCGGTCTACAAAAACTCCCTAATGACGCGCGTCGCGCGCCGTGCCACGGCGGTAGCTCTTTTACAAGAACTGTGATTTTCTACTTTGGGGCTTTTGTAGCACGGTGTGATTACTCTTTGTTTTGTTTTGCTAGTTCCCTTATTGTTTTTTTCTCTAGCGGATTTTCTGCACTACGGCCGTGTAACCGTGTTGCTCCATCGCCTCCGCGTCGTTCGTCGTGCCTTCGGTGTTCGTTTTGTGCAGAAACATATCGTGCGGCTCACCGAGTGCGCAGCTAATGAAAAGTGCGTCGCATTTTTTATTAGCCTGAACAATTTAAAGCGCGCCGATAGCCTTGACTAGGCGAGCGACAATAGAAGCGACGGCGACCCGCTTCGCTGTCGCTCGGTCACTCGCGCGACAAGGCAAAAAGCATGAAAGCGACGGAAGCAAACGACCAAAGTGATGAGCGATAAGTTTTCAAAAAATCTAGAAACCGAGCTACGCGACGAGCGACAGTGAAGGGTGAACCGCATGTAAGCGATTGAGCGAGCGACGGCGACAGCGGCGGGAGTCGGCGACGAGCAACGGAGATTTGTCACGGATGCTCGTCGCGTCGTTCGGTTTTTAGATTTCTGGAAATCGTCGCTCATAGCCTTGGTAGCTTGCCCCCGTCGCTTTTATACGGTTTGCCTCGTCGCGCGAGTGACCGAGCGACAGCGAAGCGGGTCGTCGTGGCTTGTCTCGTCGCCGTCGCCCGTCTTGTCTCGTGGCTCGATCGCTGAATTGCTTACATGCGGTTCAGCCTTTACACACGGTACTCGGCGGCAACAAGGGAATTAAAACGGCCCGCCCCCGAGGTAAACTGTTTTCTCTCTTCTGTTCAACGAAGGTGCTTCAACGATATGAAATTAGCACACACTACCAACTGACGACCGCATGCACAAGCCAATCAAACGTCGAATAGCGACCTCGAAGATGGCGGATCGACGGTGGCGCTCCGTGGCAAAATCGAACCTGCAGGCTCAGTGAATACCACCTATACACTTTGCATCGCTTCCCGCTGATATCAGCAGGGAAGCGATGCAATATCAGCACATAAAAAAGCAAATAGGCAGTATAGAAACGGACATCTACAAGTGCAGTAATAGGCCTCGACAAGTCAAATGTAGAACGAATTTTGCAGCTTGTGGTGAAAATGTAAGACCCTGGGTGTAATGATTGTTATTGGCTACTCAAGTTTTGTTTTTCATTCCGTTCATTCCTACGAGGATGTGCGCTATAATTTTGTGTGTTGCTCGGTAGCGACGCTCGTTAAAATACGTTAATGGAAACAATACGAAAAGAGGGCGCAAAATCCTCGTCATCCCCCCCCCCCCTCCCCTTTCACCCCCATCTCCTGAATAGTTCCGACCACAGTGATTCCGACGCATCTGGGCATCATACGAAGTAGAAATGTCCCGGTAACTAGCGATCGTACCTCGACGGTGCACAATAATAATAAACCCGCGTCGCGTCGCGAACTCCGATTGTGAATATTTGTACGATTAAACGGCGATACTTCTATGCCCAGGGTCGCCCTCGCTCGCGCATAGAAACCCCCCGTTAGTCATTCGCAGAAGGCTGTCATTCTTCACAAACAACAACACGCGAAGAGTAAACACTGGAAAACGTCCTCAGGAAATGTGAACATGCCTCCGATTTCAATTACCGGCGACGCTGTTGACGAACCTCTCGGCGCTGTTGGCGCAACAACGGGCGCCATGAAGGGGAATAAGCACGCCAGAACACAAGACTAATTCACACTTTTAATAACAAATAAATTAAGAACTCACTAAAGTGAAAACAATGAAGATACGATGCACGGGGTCAATGGGGACAACGCGGGAGCTAGGAACAACGCTGCTCTCCGCATACCAAAATGGGCGCACAACAACCGTACGCCAGACGGCGCGGCTGTCGCTGCAACACGCAAGATGGCGACGACTACGCGGAAAAGGTGTATACTTAGAAGTTTTGTGGTACCTACCACTGCATGCACTCTCTGAAAAAAAAAGGTAAGAAATAGCCAATAGCAAAATGCCGTCGTAGCACTGTCAATGCCAAGAGCTCGTGCCAGGAGATGCGTTTTGATGCGCTCTGGAACAAAAAAAACAACGAGAACATTTGGAACAAAATGGTCAGATGTCTATTTTGTTCCTGACGCTTTTGTTCATGCGCCCCACTGTGCGTAAACGCGACGCCGAGGCCCAACGACTTTGCCGTGACTGTGCTGTAGATTAATGCAGGACGGCTAAATTTTTTCAATCTTGAGGTAGCTGTTTTGTCGTGCACCGATTCTCGTGTATGACCTGCGAGGCGTTAATGTAAACATTTTTTGCCGACCGCAATTGCAGGATCTTCTGGGTCAGACGAACCGCCGCCAAAGGTGAGTAAGATTCTCGCACCCATGTCTCCCCAGTTTATATCTGTCGATTCAGTTTGCTTTCTTCAGTCACCGACCAAGGGGCATTGCTTTTCCGCAGTACTCGGGTGCTCGGTGGGAGGCGCACTCAACGGGGCTATAACCCGCTGCCATGCACAAATAGTATGAATAAAGCAAAAACACTGTTTGAATTAAGCAGCTTGTAAATGCATTGAGAACATAGCAGAACAACCAAGATTTTTTAATTCGTTCGAATTAACCGGAAGTATGAAATATCTGAGTTTGAATTATTGCGGGTCCACTGTAATCCTGAGCCAGCCCCTCCCTCCCCCAACCCGTCCCCGAATCGTGTCCCTCAGCCCTCGAGGCACCCCTTGGACCGTAGCGGCAGCAGCGGCGGTGCCCAGACCCCGACCCCCACCGTGGGCACCTACATCGTGGCGCAGACCCCTGAAGTCCTGGCGCAGCTGCTTCAAGAGAACGACGGCAGCCTCCCGCCGGCGTGGGCCTACGTGGCGCCAGCGTCGCCCACCAACACCTTCACGGTACAGGACGTTGGTAGCGGGAGTAGCGGCACCAACGCCGGGGGAGGCAGCATGGCTGGGAGCGGTAGCTTCCCGGGCGGAGGCGGTAGCAGCAGCGCGGCCGAGAGCACGACCTCGTCGTCTGCTTCTCCCCGCGCGGCCGCGGCGACCTCGTCATCCGGCCGCAGGTCGAGCCTTGCCTCACAGGTCGGCCTGTCTCTCTCTTTCTGTCTTTCTCTTCCTTCTCTACGCTTTTAACCTTTTGTTGATGAGTGCTGCATACAGGCAACAAACCACAAAATAACTTTTGTTTGTTTAATAGTGTCAGTTTTATCACGTTTTTTTAACTACTACAGTGTAGACCGCATTTAACGTATGTTGCGGGAGTCGCGAAAATTCGCACTATAAGCGGTACCGCGCTATAACCAAAACATCAATTTTTCAGGCCAAAATACATGCCATCAGACAATTCATCAGACAACTTACCTTTGTAAAAGAATTATTTTATGTTAGATGAAAAATAAAGCTTAGATTGAGGAAAGTCTTTATTTCACCAGACTAGTACACTTTTCTCTCAAGTTTGTCACACATTTTGAAAGAAATGAGCGACTTTTGCCTGGCGGAGCCTTTTAACGGCGTCGCGGGTTGCGGACGGACATTGCCAGCGTTCAGGATTGCTAACCCTAATCACTTTTCTCCGGCGATGAAAACGCGTGAAAATTCGCATCCTTTATACGGTACGCGCCAGTAATACCTTCAACTTGAGCACAGGCATGAAATGCTCCAAATATGAAATCCGGGCGATGTTCAGAAACACAAATGCTTAGAAAGCACCACTTTAGTCGAAGTAAACAAACACGACGACACGGGCGTTTCTGCCGTCTTGAGAGTGCTGCCACAACATCGCCGCACAAGTAGGTGGATCTTCCCTTCTAGTACGTGCTGGGTTATCATAGCGACACACAACGAAAATTCAGTCAAGGATAGCGCTTTTACGCCGAACGATGAGCTCCACCACGCCGTCTACCACGTCGACGATCACAACCGACGCCATGTTTGCGGATAGAAGCAATAGAAGCAGCCTGCCCGCGACCGGCATGCAACGCGCGCAAACACTTCTCCTCGACCTGCGATAGGTCGATGCGGTTGTTTCCAACCGTTGCAGCGGAGGGACGCACGCACGTGAACGACACGTGCGTGCGTCCCTCCGTCGCTATGGCAACTGAAGCCTCTCTCTTCGCTTCTTCCAACATCCTCCTTGCCCCACGGGTGCCGCTTGCGGCTCGCGCTGTTATCTAGCGCCGCACAGGGAAACGTGCTCGCTGCGCCGGTCAGTCAGCACGGCCGCCGGGCTGTTCGAGAAACTGCACTATAACCGGTATTTCCCTTCGCGCGCCTGCATTTTAAGCGGTATGTTAATACATGGAGTTCTATGGGAGGCGAACCGGTGGTTTAAAAAAGCCGCGTTATACCCGGTCCCGCACTATAAGCGGTTACGTTGTAAGTGGTCTATACTGTATTAGTCTGGCAACAGCCTTGAAGGTCGAAACTACAGCGCCATCTAGTGAAAGGATATGCAAATAGCTGACGAGAAAAGGGAAATTTGGCACGCAAGCACGCGGCAACCGAGAATGGTGGAATGGCGAAAAATATGGATATAAGTGTTTTTCTCGTGCCTCTATTATTTTACGATAGTTGACTGTTTTACAGGAAGCTATCGTATGCACAAACATTATTCACATTTTATAGACCTTTTCATTTCAGTAGTTGCCTGACCGGCGGGCAGAGGGCACTGGCGCACTCGCCGCCATTAGGTTGCTTCAATTTGGTCGGTTTCGGTTTCAAAGTGCACGCGATTGTAATGCTGTTTCATGCCACTTTCGATTAATTTTGCGATATAAATTGCTTTCTTGTAGCACACAGCGAATGAAACAATAGTATTGAGCCACTTGGCAAACCACAAAATGGTTTCGAGCCTAAATTGCGATCTTTTTTTACGAACACGATGTACGTCTGATTCCGTCCATCGTTAATTTCGGCCAGGTTTGGCGGTGAAACAACTGTGCTGATGCACAGGGAGGAGTACCATTGTCCACGGCCGTACCCGCGGACACTAATTTCCAGAAGAAAAAAAAATAAAGAGCGGGACAAGCTCCGCCCGCAGCGTGCGTTCGTTGTCTGCCGCCGTGCTTTGGCTGTGCGAGCACCGAGCAGTACAAAAGGCAGATAGCTCGCGCTCAAGTCAGGTATTGAACTGATCATCTTATATTGCAACAGACTATATTGCATGAGTGCTTAGTGAAAAAGCAGGTCGACCACATGATTAACAATCTGCTGTATCACCAAGAACAGATGAACTGACAAGTTTACTGTTCGATGTTTGGTATTCGTACACCAACCTTTTCTAACTTCGAGAGTGGAAACGTCTTTTATAATGACTAGAAAAGTTTCATATAATCACGTAGATCATATAAAAAAAGTGATATTGTCTCGGCCTGGTTTTATTTAAAGAAATTAAGCGCTTGAGAAATATTTTGATAGACGAGCCTAGGCTGACTAGAAAATTTCTTTAACTAAAGTACTCATTAACAGAATTTCAAAATATTGGCCTTATGAAATAAACTTTCTGTTATATGGACATTTGCTGACGACGTTTTCAAGGTATGAGAATGGTTAGATAAGTGAATGCCAGATTTCAAATAAAGTCTGATATTCATTTTCCGTAAAATTTGCTGAATGAAATTGAAGAGCGCAAAGGAAATGATCTCCGATAAGTTTGGCTGAAGTCGAACGCCAGGCGCCACCGAATGGACCTGTGTAGAAAGCTGTTCACTGATTCGAAATGATATGCTTTGCACATTTCGACTTTGCCAGCTACTGAAAGTAACTCCCTATTCGCCGTCAACAACCGGCTTCACTCGGGGGATTTTCATGCAGAAAGATTCTTTTCGGCGTCACATTTTGTGAATCATAGGCACTATCAAGCTGTCTGTGACAGTTTCTTACGCGGGGAGTCAAAATATTTGTGTTGAAATCAATTAATTAAAACTGCATGATTATATTAAAAAAATGACTTAAGCAACTGAAAGACTATGGACATGGTACCAAGCACGATATACAATTCCGTGGAATTCATGAATAAACCGATAAAGCGAATGCTTATATCACACACGTGATTAAGAACGTAAAACAGATATAGGTGTGATATTGCGAACAAACAAGTTGCCTAATGTTACGGTACCATTATTTGTGAAATAAATGAACTGCGCAAAGGCCTCGTCCTTTGCGCAGTTCATTTATTTCTACAAATCATGAACCAACTAGTCCGCCAAAAGGTGTTACCATTATTTCTAGCATAAAAAATAATTCAAACTAAACGTTTGTTTCCGCGTCTTGTCCACAAGTTCCCTAGTGTAATAAAAAAAACTGTTTTCGATTTGTTGTGACTACAAAATACCATGCTTTCAAGAAAAACACGTGGCTAATTACGCTGAGTGTTTTTGGTTTCCTTCCTTGCCACCAATGCGCACTTATATATGTAATTACATTGGGCTTCCTATTCCAAATGTTCCGCCCTTATTAGTAACCAAGCCTCAGTTCTCATATATTATTGGTATTTGAACCATCGAGGCTTTCTTCAGTCATATATGTATTCAATGTGCGCAAGTGCTAACTCTGATTCCTGTTCTTATAAAGCCTTTTCACACGTATCCCGCAAGCCGACGGTAAAAAATATTCAAAACGTACGTGTTACAAAATTAACTACAGAAGTTGGCCGCATAATGATGTAATGCAATTGCATGGTAGGTATAAGTATTGGATGACACTTTACGGAGTAAGGAAAGAGACGCGGTGAAACGCGACGAAAAACACGAATTCAACGCATCCGCCAAGGCGCGGACGGGAGAGCGGAGCGAAAAGTTGAAGCAACCTAATGGCGGCCGCATCACGTGATTCCAAGATGGCAGCGCCCATGCGGCGGAGGGTGAAAAGATCTATAGTTATCCATAGAGGTCACGCAAGGGAGCCACTTTTAGACTTCTGCCTTGGTGGTGCACACAAGCAACAAAGCTATAACTTGCAAGTTTAGTTATTAATATCTTAAAAAAGTAATGTTTTAAGCAATTTTAGTATATCTCGTCAAAAAAAAGGTTAATACAGAATGTATATTTTACGGGTCGTTTTTCGCGAGAAGGAGCGTCGTGAACAAGCATCGCGAACGAACGACACGCTGGAAGCGTTACACTAAAGTCACGTGACGTCAATTTTCCTGCTAAATTGAGTAGGGAAATTTACACGACCACGTCGTGTGACCTCGTGTCACGTGACAGCAATTTCTTCAAAAGGGTTCTGCAGGGTGGTAGTTGGCGTTCATTGCATTCTCTGCTCCCTGGTCCTGGCCCTCGTCAGAGTGATCCAGTTCGCACAATTCTTTTTCTCACTTTCTCATTCTCTTTTGCCTCTCTCTGTCGCTTTCTCTTGCCATGACTTCGTGCCTCTCAGACTTATTAATTTAGGTAGGTGGAGGAGTCTGTTATGAGTCAAGGTAAACAGTTCACCTGTTTTGATCAAATTTACCAAGTAACTATTACTCTATTTGACTGCAAATCTAGTTACACATGTAGTAGTCACCCAAACTACAACAGTCGCGTGTCATTAATAACAGACGGTACTTTTTATGGTTGTGGAAACTGTGGACAGGGTGGTCTGGTGCATACGTTAGAACATAATAAACCTCATACGTACGGTCGAGAATTTTTTAATATTTTTATAAACTCGTTAAGATGCAGGGTTGGCTTTTGGTGCCAGTTGCACTGTCTTGTTTCCTGTAAGAGATGCTTTAAACGGTACATTCTGAAAAGCAATCTTCGTGTTTCCAGGATCTCGTGATAGAGCAAGAAAGCTACGACAACCTTGTGGTATGTCTCAAAGTCGCAAGGCCCCGCCGGCATTGTTTGTGTCGTCGTTTCTGCACGTTTGGATTTCTGAATTTCATTTTCGCGGCCTCGTCGCATTTCTTTCTAACCTCCAGGGGGGTCAAATGCATGATCGCTGTGCACTGTGAGACGCTAGCTGGTCTGTGAGGCAAGAACTTGATCGTGCATGCCTGCCGCTCTCTTTTTATTGTGCGTGTTATCGGTCATATGTTGGCGGCACTTGTCGTCGTTTTTGTTGCGTCGGTTCAAATTTACTTTCAGTTGTGCCTAGGTTTACTTTTGTTTTGTACTTGCCATGGCTCATTGCTATAGTGTGCTTTGTAGTTCCAGACTTGTGGTCGTAGTGTGGCATGAATGGTTGTTTTCGGTGTTGTGCTTTTTCGGCGATGCTTAATGTTTTGATGGATTTCGGCCAATATTACTTGATATCTAACTAAAGAACTCTAATGGATAATCGTGTTTTCACATGTGTGTTAGTCTGTTGTTGGAACCTTGCCACAATAGAAAGTTGCTTGAACAGTCTCTGAAAAGCATGGATTTCTGTGAAGCTTCTAAAATTACCACTGAAGCGGGAATTGTTTGGGAGTGTGCTGATTGTTCTGAAAAGCACGCAACTGCATTTTAATTGTAGACAAACATGGCTTGATCCACCTCTGTGAACCTCTTATTGTGTTAATTGTGGCTTTGTTTAAATCCACTAAACTTGATTCCAAGCAATGCTTGAGAAGGGGCTTGTTTGTAATGCATCCTTTTTTATCACTAAGGCAAGTCGTACAAAAAGCTTGCAGGAAGGCAAAGAACAGCACAGATATACGTAAACGCTCACATCTCTATGTTTCGTTTTTATCTTTGTCTTCGTGTAGGTTTTTTTTAACACAATATCATTTAATGCGTGCAGCCACGTGTGATGTCATGTGTAAAGTTGCAAGTGGCTGCGCGTGCTGCATTATGGAATTTACTCGCTTAATTAGGCGGGAAAATGTTCCCGCCAAATTTAGCAGAAAATTTTCACGCCAGATCTAGTGGAAAACTTTCCCGCCAAATTTAGCTGGTCGATATGATCATAAAGTCACAGCTATGTGTGACGTCACGTGATACGTGACGCTACCGACTAGACCACGCACACGCTTGCACGGCTTGGGAACGAGGACGCATTTATATTAGCAGACTTTGCCAACGGTACCCGATAACGCTATCATGTTCCGCTCTCAAATGCGAAGCTTAAGCATCCCCCAAGTTGTTTTTTTTAGTGTGAAACCTAACAGCACTGTATTGATCAGAACAATTCCAAGTTAACAGAGTGGGCTGGTTCTGGCATTGCTCTACAGTAATCCCTCGTTATATCAAAATTGCTTTTTTCTAATTATCGCTTTTATCGGAGTTCAACATGGTGCTGACCAAAATGCATGCATTTTGAACTGGATTATTTAAAGCGTATTGATGGCCGACCATGCTTATTACAAAGGCCGCGGTGCCGAAAACACTCAAGTCTACACGGAGGTGCACAGAAACCCTTGCGTTTCTTCCCCCTTCTCCACCGAGGCGAACGGGAAACAAGAAAACGAAGCAAACGGGTGACGGAGGGCAGGCGCGCAGAGCGCAGCTTCCGATGCCGATGCGCCGATGTGGGCAGGGCAGGGGCAGAGGGCAACAAGAGCAGCATCCCCATTCCGACGCCACTCATGGCGTCTGCTGCCGACGCTGTCTGACTCCTGTCGCAGTCGGGTCTAGGGAGTGATGCAGGAGCCTGGAGGAGATCATCCCTTCGGGAGCCCTCGACGCGCGTGCCTGTGCAGGCATGCTTGCGGCGTGCACACTTACGTGCGTCGTATGGGAGAGTGAGAGTGTTTACGGAAAGTTAGATCTGCGAGGTTGAGACAAGTGGCCGGTTCAAGTCCGAAACCGCCAAAGAATTCGACATTCTGGCATTGGCTGTTCGACACAGTCCACCATTTTTCGGAACAAGCAAGGCATACTGGACGGGTTCGAGAAGTTTCTCATGCAAGAGGAAGCGCGCCCGCGACCCAAAGATGAAAGATCGCCAGCTGCTTTGTGGACATTGCTGAGCCGGCACACGATTCCCAAAGCTGCAACGATTTCTATAGGAGGATGTGAAAACATGTTTGCATTGTTGCTCCTGCTACAGATGCTGCGATCGTATGGAGTTTGCATGCAGCCAGATGCGACGTCGGAAAGACATTTCGGGAAAAGCCAACGACTGCGCAGACGCGAAACATCCTATGGCTGCCTCAAAACAAAGTGGAGTGCAGCAGCGGTGACAGTGGTCTTGCAATGCCTGGAGCAGTTCGAGGAGAACTGATGCCCAGATGAAATTATCGGCAAACTCCACTTAATTATTTTTAGAGCGCAGCTCTTAGGGGCCCGTTTCCGGCTTGAGCGGCGTCGGCGTCGCCGTCGCCGTTGGCGTCGGCGTTGGCGTAATTGCGCGGTGCATCATGGGAAATGTCCCATAATGCACCGCGCGAACCCCCCACCGGGGTCACGTGACCTCGTGGGGGGGCACGTGACCCCCCAAGGTCACGTGACCCCCGCTGCACCATGGGAAATGTCCCATAATGCACCGCGCGAGCCCCCCACCAGGGTCACGTGACCTCGTGGGGGGCACGTGACCCCCCCGAGGTCACGTGACCCCCGCCGATGTCGCGTGACCCCCCAATGACGTCATCGTCACTGATGACGTCACCGGCATCCACATCGTCATCATCACTGATGACGTCACCGGCATCCACATCGTCATCGTCATCATCACTGATGACGTCACCGGCATCTGCATCGTCATCGTCATCATCACTGATGACGTTACCGACATTCGCATCGTCATCATCACTGATGACGTCATCAGTGACGTCACTGATGTCGTCACCGGCATCCACATCGTCATCGTCATCGTCACTGATGACGTCACCGGCATCCGCATCGTCATCGTCATCATCACTGATGACGTCACCGGCATCCGCATCGTCATCATCACTGATGACGTTACCGACATCCGCATCGTCATCGTCATCATCACTGATGACGTCATCAGCGACGTCACTGATGACGTCACCGACATTCGCATCGTCATCGTCATCATCACTGGCGAAGTCATCAGTGACGTCACTAATGACGTCATCGGTACCCGCATCGTCATCGTCACTGATGACGTCATCAGTGACGTCAGTGATGACATCATCGGCATTGGGGGTCACGTGACCCCCCAAGGTCACGTGAACCCCCCCTGGTTAGTTTAACCCCCCCCCCAGTGCCCTTCCCTCCTCCTCCTCAAGAGCTGCGCTCTAATTCGGCGTTACAGGGAGTTGTAAGCAGCTTTCACTTTTTTTAATCGTTAAATCTGCCACTTGTTGTTCATAACCAAGATTTGTTTGATTATATATGCGGTCAGAGTGTTCTGCAGCGCTCCCATCCACCTTCAAGGCTGCGGGCACTGTTTATTTGGATCTGTCGCTTTTATCAAATTGCCGCATATACCAAATTTTTCTGCTGTCCTGTTGACTTCGTTATAATCGGGGGTTACTGTAGATAAATGGGAGCTTTTTATCTCAAAATTGAACCTTCAAAAGGAGTCTCTTAGCGAAACGTTGATTGCCACTCAGACTTTCATGGAAACCTTTTTCCAGTTCTTCATAACAGCTTTGATCACCTTTACGTTTGGTTTCGACTTTCGTGACGAGCTGTGTAGCTTATCGATGGGATGGCAGCATTTGTTTATCTTCTTGGAGCTTCGAGAGCAGCCGCTAAGCATCTGCTCCGACAGGAAACGGACCAGCACGAAGTGTTGGAGCAGCGGCTGCTCGAAATGAAGCTCCAGAGCCAACAGCGAGAGACGGAAGAGGACTCCAGGTGGCTGAGCCAGGAAGCAACACTCTTTGATCCGTTGCCCGTGAGTTCACGCTTTGTCATGTTATGCGAGTTTGTGTGAGTTATGCGAGCTCGTATTTCGTTATGTTAGTGAGTTCACGTGAGTACATATTTTATTATTTTAGTGAGTTCACATGAGTTATGCGAGTTCACATTTCGTTATGTTATGGAAGTTCATCTGAGTTATGTGAATTCATGTGAGGAGCTTTAGAGGGTGCTAACGGAGATTGATTTATGAATTAATTAGACATCATTCGGCTCTGGTGTGATTCCTAGGGGCACTTTACAGGGATGGTGAGCTGAAAATTGAGCTTGGAAGTGGCAGTAGTGGCTATGAGTAGTGTTTACTGGGCGGTGGAGAGAAACTCACCCGGGGAAAGATCACTGGAGAATAGCTCACCGGAGAAAAGCTCACAGGAGAAAAGCCCACCGCAAAACCGGCAAATGCGGGGAAAAGCTTACTGGCCTTTGAGCGGATGCAAAGAAAAGCTCATTGATTTTTTTTTTTTTCTTAGCTTAGCGGATTGTGCGTCACATATGGCAATTCAACAGAATTAGAATTCGTCGCTTCATTAAAAATAATTGTCTTCCTTTTTGGAATATTCTGGAAGGTCATTGGGCATATTTACTAATTCTTCAGAAATTAGTAATCACCCATTCTGTATATTATGGTGCCGCAAGTATAAAATCAGAACATCTGACGCCCATAAAAAAGACAACAGTTTATTGACAGCTTGACAGTGCACCGTCCGTAGCTCTGTCAGATAAAAAGGTTTGCTTTTTGCAAGTTTTTGCGAGCTAATAGGAATAGCGGTGTGTGGACTATTAAAGCTCCGAGGATTGTGTGGTGTTTAAGTTATAGATAGTATATACAGATCAAATTGCATGTTGTCCTTTGCTGTTGTACTTGCCATGGACGGGCAGCCTGCCATTTGAATATGGCTTTGGCTTTGGCATATAGCTTTTGCATTGTCACTTGCTTTGGCTTTGGCTTGGGCAAACTCGCTTTTCCCGGGACAGACGACGCCAACCCGGGTGCGAGCATCGTGCAGCGATTGGTCGGAGACGGACAGCATGGGAACGACCAATGGGACGAGCCCCACCTCACCAGGTAGGACACGCCACTCCCAGTGAACACTGGTGCACATCCAAGCTCCGCTTCTGAACGTGAAACGTTCCTTGGCTAGGTGTTCGGCATTTTGTAAAGCCCAGATAAAAGGGAAGTCTAAATAAAAGCATGACCATGAGGCTCAATACTGATTGGTTGACGGGTAGGAGAGGAGGGGCGAGGGGCTGGATGCTGATTGGTTAACGGGTGGGTCATGTGACCGGAGGGGTAGGCATGCAAGGAGGAGCTTGACCACCTGTGTGCACTGAGGGAGAGGAGCTCGAGAGTATGGGAGGCTCTGGAAGATCCCCAGATTTATCAGCCTGATTAGCTGTAGTGTCGCTTTATTCTAGGAACCACTATCAAGTATAAGAAGAGGGGCAACCAGCGTGAGTCAGCCTTTCTTGGCATTATCAGATAGTGAGGTCCTGATCCCTTGTCATCATCTCTAGGCATCGTCCTTGAGGTCATCCTAAAAGTCGTCCCTGAGGTCGTCCTAGGCGACGTCCTCGAGGCTGTCTTAGAAGTTGTCCTAGGCATCCTCCTCTAGGTGTCCTTGTTGAGGTCGTAGAAGTCGTCCTAGATGTCGTCCTGTAGGCATCGTCTTAGACATTGTAAAGATAGCAGCTTCGCTGGTTTTCCATCTTCACGTGAAGTGGATCGGATCTACAATTTTTAGGGGAGAAGCTCCTTAGGGTCTAGCCTTGTCCGTTCGACATCTGTGCTCACATCGATTGCACTGCCTCCGGGATCGGCTTACTTTAAAAAAAAAAGACGCACGCCCGCACGGAGGTTCGAACTCAGGACCGCTTGCTTACGAGGCAGATGTCTTAACCACTATGCTACACTCCAACGTTGCATGTAGCCGCTCACAACTATACAGGAGAAGGCGCTGCGGTCAAATGTGTATATTATTGCGTTAAACTTTGCATTCATTGGCTCAATGTTTTTAGACTAGAGGGTGCTGCGGTCAAATGCTCAATTGCGTATGTAACCCCGATCCATACCACACATTCTCTTTCTGACATGGACCGTCGACTTAAGCGGTGGAGATGCATTCCCACAGCTACTAGCGGGTCCAAGCTGATTCGCTAGAAGAACCACTGGCTCTGCATTTCACCGACCATAAAGCAGTAATAATGGAGTCGAAATGCAATCCGGAACTCAGCACTACATATAAGCAATAAAAAAAAAAATCAGCACCATCAGCACTACCTATGAACAATAAAATCAGTATCATCAGCACTACCAGAGCTTCGCCCCAACCAACATCATTCACCACGTGGAGGTGCGGCCTCTTTTTAACTTAAACTGACATGCACTGTTGAGGCCTCCAAAGTAGATGGGGTTTTGGGGAATGTAGTGTCCCGCCTTTTGGCAATCGCTCCTTTGTAGAATTTGAAAAGTTACCTCACATTGTAAGCGCATGAGCAATTGCTGCAAGACAGTGCACATGTTGGATATGTCTTTTCCAATGCTGCTTGTGCAGTATGTAATTAGCAAGCGTGCAAGTCGTAAGCACGCTTGTTTCACCGCACTCTCAGAGCCGGCGCTCAATATCATTTCAGCGGCGGCTAGTCCCCGGGTCTTTGGAACAGAGGCCTCCAACGGCACTCTGGAGTACTCCATGGTAGACAAGAAGTCGGTGAGTTCTGTGACAAATGTCTTCTCCCTCTTTCTTGATCTAGTAGGAAGTGGTGGTGCTGTAGCCACCGACAGGACGAGAAATCCGAGGCGCCTTCTTTTGATGCCCGGCCCACAGCACGTGCCGTTGCCTTTGGTGGTGCTTTGGCCGCGTGTGCACGCTGGAATCTCGCGAGATGTGCAAACGTCGCGAAGGTGGGAAGTTCACGCTAGAGGAGGGACAACTAAAAGGTTGCATCCTGTCGGCAAGCACAGTGGTACAATCGAGGAGATCTGGAAGTGGAGTTAACTACGAGATATGGAGGAAGTCCTCACATCCGTTCGAGGGCTTTTTTTTGCTTCTTTTCTTTCGTGGTTTCTCAGAAAGATGTCTCTTCAACCACGCTCATTTTCAACTCAAGAAAGAACCATGTTGCGCATGGTACTATCTCGTAAGGTGTCCAAAGCAGTTTTCATGGGATTTGTTCCTTGGTGGAAGGGGAGTTGTGCTTTTTTCATGTGAAATACACACTCGCTGTCATGAGACGACGAGTAACCAATCTCGAGCGCACGTACAAGCACCTCATCGGGAACCTAAGCCTCGAGGTATGAAGAAGGGAAATAGCGGACAGTGCAACGCACGTTTAGTGTTGTGCCATCCTTTAATTTTTTGTTTCTCCGTCTCGAGATTTAGATCATTTGTGTTTTCCATCCAGCTCACCTGCATACTTTCGCTTCTTGCAAGTACCTCAATTCGCCGCATAAAGGGGGAAATGCGCACTTCTCAGCAAGGAGGGCATACCCGATGCCTTTCTGCGCGTGTGCGACCATTCTCGGTTTTCTGCAGAAGTGCCAGATTCAGAGGTCGGAGGCGGCCACGGCCCCCTTGACCGCTTCGCAGCCGTCACGGCACCACCCGCCCACCGTGGAGATGGACCGCACGGACGACCGGGTCTATGAGAGCACAACCAGGGTTGTCCGGTCGGTCATGGTCCTCTCGCAAGGGGTGACGGAGGCGAGGGTGGACGACTACTTGGACTACGTCAAGGTGGGTTCTAACACGTCATCTGTGTCTAAGGGGACGCTCTCTACCCTCACTTTCTGCCGATGGTTCTTGTCTATGGATGGACATCGGTCGTCTCACGCATTACGCGTTCACTGAACTCGCAATCATTGCAGAATAAAGGGGTTAATTGCAAAGATTTGGTCAATAAAATTTTGGGAAAGGCACCAAAAGAGACGGGGACAAGGCAGGTTGAATGATACGAGGCAGGCTCACAACTCAAGTTTCATTATAAAACAAGTAGAAGCATCCACAGCCTGCAAAAATCGATTTTAGCATATCGCGCTGTGATTTACTATGGAGGTTTTGGCTACGTAGTGGTAGTTTGGAGTGAAAATATTCACGGATGACTTCACCTTGTTCAAAAGGGTAGAATAAAAAACCAACGTCAAACAATCTATGGCCGAATTTCGCAGACGACGCGTGATGTCTTCGGAATGCTGCCGACAGATTTCGGAAGCTGGAGGGCATGCCAAAGCCAAGCTTAGCCGACGATCTTCCAAAAAAATTGTACTGCAGTTTCTTCAGCACGGCGAGTGTCTCTCTAATGTACAATCTTCAAAGTGGGGCGATCTTTATTTAAATAAGCTAAACATGAAAACAGATTTCTAGGTTCCTCATGGGCACCCCGTTTCTTGTTCCAGTTGGTAGAGGTGCCGCATCCTCTCGTGTCTCAACTTGCGCCATCTGTTGGCAGCACATGCAAGTCGACAAGTGCTGTATGGCACCGCCTGCAAAATGTCGTGGTAGATTGCCCACAACAGTGTCTTCATTTTTACCTTTCTAACCAGGTAGATTGATCTATTGATATATTAACACAAAGGTCCCCGAGGAAAGCGTGACGGAACGACACAGAAATCATTATGAAGTGTCCTCTGTCCTGTGCAGTACGAAACATACTGCAGACATCAATCTGTACAAAAGAATGCATAATTGAGAAGACATAGGTAATAATTAATTGAGAGGAAAGAACGAAGTTCCACGATCCCCTGATACTTAGCCCGACACCCTACCACTGCGGCAAAGGGGAGACTTGTGAAGAAGAGAAAGTCCACCCACATCAAGGGCAGGAAGTGTGTGGGTAACCACGTGACTATGTCACGCGACCATGCTACGTGAGGGAGAGCAGGAGACGAGAATTTGCGAGGACGTCAGAGCACCAAGCTCTGGTCGGAACGTCGGAACACTGAACGCTGACCTCTTGTGTTGGGCATTTGAATTCGAACAGTGAGCAGAGACAAAGGCTTTACATGTACCCACTAATAATATCAGCTAGGGCTTGGCATTCCGAGATCCCTGCGCACTTTTGTCTCCTTCTCCTCTCCCTCAGTTGCTAGTCGTACAACCAAAGAAAATATAAATTAAAAGAATAACTGCAAAGTCTTCCACATGCCCCCAAGAATGCTGCGGAAATATGTTCCGGGTATGCAGACTCTGTCTGTAAGATCAGGATAATTTTAGTTCTTGGTTTTTGATGGATCATGTTGCAGCTGGACTTTTGATGTCAATTACCACCATTTCCCTTCTTGACAGGTTTCTAAGAACCAAACGTGCTACGACAAAACCCAGTAAGACAGTCGCGTTGCGACACGGTTGCAATTTCCACGGATTTACAAGACACTTTATAATGCCAAAGAATTTTCGCTCCAAACTTCCAGCACCAAGCCGTACCTCTGCAGTAAACTGTGACATGAGACGTCGAAAGACTGACTTTTGCTAACCGTAGTGGGTTCGAGGCGTTGGTTTGCACGCTGTGGGAGTGCCTGGTCATATCCTTGTGAACCCTTTTTGGCATATTCATATACTCTTTCTTTGATGGGGCTGTGAGCACTTCGCTTACAGAATCTTTGCCTTTGTTCCTAATCTGAAATGCCTCGTGCGCTCCTCTGGAAATTATGTCTTGTCGAAATCTTGATGTCGTGAAACGCGAGGAACACTGACAGAATTTTCAGGGAAGCTGGGAGGAACGCAGAAGCTGTGAGGAAGCAAAGCCGAACAAGGGCAACCTAACACCTTATGACAGCATTGAGGCAAAGAGTTTAGTGCAGTGCAACTTACCCACTTGAGCAGATTGTGTACTGTTTTAGGTGTTTTTTTTGTTGTTTTTTTCTCTTTTTATATTTTTTATGTGCTACCACACTGTAACCAATAGGTTGTTCTGGGGCATTATACAAATAAAGGATTATTATTATTATTATTATTATTATTATTATTATTATTATTATTATTATTATTATTATTATTTGCAACGAAGCATCGACGTAGCTTTTAAGCTTACTGTGTCGTGCAGCGGGCACATCCGTACCTTAGTGTTTGGTGCTTCTGTGCTCATAGCTGCAATACGCTTCTTCCAGAACGTCGGCATTGAACTTCGAAACCTGCTGGCCAGCGTTGACGAGCTTATGACCTTCTTTCCACTTTGGTCCAAAAAAGAGGTATGATGTTCATGCTCACTGAGGGGGTGTAACTTTGCCCTAACTTAATCAACTGCGTGTCTTTTTCTCAGTTTAAATGGTCGAAGGTCGCGTGGAAAATAAGTGTGCTGGTCAAATGTGCTTGAACGTGGCGACAAGAGGATGCTGATTTTTGTTATTCACCTAATCTTATAGGAGTGAGTTCATGCTATGGTACTTGGAAGAGAGGATTTAGTTGTTGTCGGGAATGTCTTTATGCTGGTCTAGCCCCCAGAACAAGAAATTAAGTTTGAGAAATTAACGTTTGGTTCTGAGTTGTCTTCTTCTGGAGCCGATTTGGTATGTCCGGTATCCATGAGGGAAACTGAGAAAGAATTGTTAGAGAGTTTTGACGAGCTTACAAAACTTTAGGGAGTTTCAATTGAAACTGTCAACCTGCTTGCTAAACCTTCAAATGTAGCATGGCCAGTGTTTATCGGTGTAGCTGTATGTGTGTATCGAGGCTCATTCCTACAAAAAGCCACCATGCAGAACTTCCTTGCTTGGCTTACATGCTCAGGGAAGTCTTTCTAGTATAATAGACCCTTTCCGCAATTCAGTGCCATCTGGCAACTCAAATGGCAGTTTAACTTTTACCGTACTAATGGTGGCAATGAGCCTGTGGTCTGCAGTATTTTATGAAGCACCGTCACTTTCGCAAGTCAACGGTAAACGAGAATGTGCGCTGCACTGTACAGTTAATTATTTTTTTATCTCTCAGTGTTGATGTCGAAAAAGATGAAACCAGTCAGAATGAAGCGCCAACCCACATAGACGCCTTGACAAAGTTCTTTACATCAAGGGGTTTTGAAGCCGAGTGTGTGCTACTAACAGATTGACTAGGACCGAGTTAGAAATTAATGCTTACGCAGCTCTTGCATCCGACTCCTGCTTCACGTCGCGCTAACGTCTAGAATGTACAGGCCTTGAGTCATCTGTTTAGGAGAATCTTCAACTTCTTCCTCCGTCAGTGAACGGAAGGCCGCCATTAGTATAGCAGATATCCCATTTTTCAGATGATGATAGTGATCAAATTGGCCAGTCTGAATTCCGGAATTTCTCTATTGGAGAAATTTGGAGAAATTATAGGGCTTATTTATGCTAGGCATCCTCAAGTTCTCAACTGCCTTGAGGAATACATTTGGTGAGGCCGATAATTTTTTATGCAGTTGTAAAAGTGCACTAAAGTGATTTTTGACTTAGCTTTTAATGGCTTGAACGTGATATACATGCCTACGTCGCAAAGGCTAAAAATAAAAAAATTATTTGCATCCTGCTTTTTTTTTATAAAACGTGCAATTGAATTGGCACTAAGAAGGGAAAGACTGGGACTCTGGTAGCTTTTTTATATAAAATCAAATGTGGACGCAAAGAATTTTTTGATTTTCGAACTTCATGATGTAGGTAGATGATGTTAGACCCATAAGAAAACAAGGTCAAAAGTCACTCTAGAAGTTAGTGAGGGCATGTGGTTTATGTCATGCTGGTGTCGTTCCATTGTACAGGTTGAGATGGCACATCGCGTCCTCAGTAAAGACATGGCAAATCTAGTTCAAGCCATGAAGTTGGCTGTCAAGTACTCAAAGACGACTCTGGACGCGGAATACCGCAAGGGCATGTTGGGGTCAGCGCATGCGCTCGCACTGGACGCCAAGAACCTTCTGGATGTCGTCGACTCTGTGCGACTTCGGATACAAGTGCCAACGTCTCCGACCTCGCCGTTGGCTTCGGCTACGAGCAGGAACGGACAGGCAGCTTCTTTATCGCCTACCTTGGATGGCGACGAAGTCGTCTGCTCGGCACCTTCCCCATTGGTGACGGCTGGAAACGACCTCGAGCCAAACTATGACGTCGCCTGAATGTCGGTGAGGCGACGTTATTGTGATGTTGCCTGGCCGTTGGCGACACAACATGGCTACAATGCCCCGTCAACGTCGGCAACGCAGTCTGGTTTCAACGTTGCCTTGACGGCAGCGATGCGACGTGGCTTGATTGGAACTGTGGCTGCCCCAAAAGGGTTACCGGCTGCATCGTGAACTGAATTTAGTTTTTGTCAAAATAACTTTAAAAGTTTGGGGTGTCACTTTGCGAGGGGTGGCAGCTCTGTGAGGGTCGGCCCCAAAAGCCATTTATGCTAAACACATCTCGTTTAATGCCGTAGCCAGCGGCTTGCGAATTGGGTCACGTTTTCCCGACGGAAGCGGAACGACCACTGCAGGTGGTCTCGTCCCGCTTAGTCCGACTGCCTGGCGATTCATTTTTGCAGTAGCCCGAACGACGTACAAGTACAATGTCTCAAGCATATCTGCTTCGGCAGTGCCATGCACCTAACAAAAAGTTTGGATTGCCAAGCGTCGGAAAACTCGCCGTAACCGTTTTGTAGCCGGCGGTATCGCCACAGTTCTGTTCCCAAAATGCCGAGCTACTAGAAGAGTGTTGTGGTGTGGCAGTACTGTGACTTGTCGTGCTTATATTTTTCTTTGCACGCTGCAGTATGTCGGCGTTTGCAGGTTTCAGGTTGTGCACAAGAGTGAAAGCAATCTCGACTGTTTTTTCGAGATTTGAATGGCGGGGGTTGGGGGGGAACGGCAGGAAATGTCCCACTAGACTTTAACGACAGCATTTATTTACGACGGCATCTGCTGCTCAGCAGAAAGGGTTGAACGTTTGGTTAAATCCATTTTTGTTGCGTTTTTATTTACTCGAAGGTTAGCAGCTCTGTCCAGTTTAATATAATTTGTTGCTCTAACGATCGCGGCACTGAATCATGACGTCTCGCCGAGCCCAGTTTGCCATTACGTTTGCGTGATAGGAATCTTTTTCTTAACGGCACACCGCATAATGGAGCTTACTAGGATGTCCTAACCTTGCGGGATATTTTCTTCGGGCTTGTCCGAATCACTTCGATGTCCTAACCTACCGTCGTGAATCATCGCGTATGGTGGCGGGCTGCGAACATCGCGTCCGGGGCTTTCAATTTGCACTGTCGTCCGTCGTTTTTACATTGTCCGTTTTTAGATCATATTCATAGCAGCTATTATTACAGATTTTATAGGTATGTTTTTTTAATGCCACCGCAAATGCAGCTTACTTAAACCCTCTTGTGAGAGTGCGTGAAGTGTTCGACAACATAACCTCCTCAGCCCCCATGACGGGCGCAAACCTAATTTAGTTTCAGTTGGGAATTCATACATTGAGCCTAAAGTTTATTGTTTCTCATTTGTGGTTGTTTTTTTTTTTTAATGGAAAAGAAAATGAAGGCAACTGAGTGACCTCTTTTCACGTAGCAGCTTTTTCGTCAACAGAGTCCTTTATACCCAACTACCACTGACTAGTCACCCTGTAAACATCAGCTTAACCAGCCTTAACTAGCCATGTACATCCCTGACAGGTATGTCATTACACCGAGTCCTGTAAATACTTTTTTGACCTTTTTTTATCACTTGTGTAATAGCGTGTTTCGAGGTTATAGTGCACCACTTCGACGACCAGGGGTGAAGTTGTGCCGTTCTTTGTGTCGGAATGAGATTTCGCTCGGCATTTGGCCTCGAAGAGAGACAGGATGACTGCGTCTGAAAAAAGGAAAAAGGAAGAACGCGAACGGAAGGATGAAAACTAGAGTACTATATATAAATGTGCATTGCCGCCGCATCTTCGCAAAGAACGAGATTGGTGTTTTAAAGAGAGATTCCCAAACACTTTGTTCGGGATGACTCTGTGTCAGTCTACTAAATATCGGAGTGCATTCTTGAGAATGTGGGATAGGAACCGCCTGTCTCTTTGGTATACATTTCAAAGGCGCTCGAAGTATGTAGCATTTGTAGGTCCCTTTTGCCTCTCTGTGCCCGTCGTTCTCACTGTGCAGCTACGTCTGTCGCGTGGCATTGCAGTGTCGCGTAACTCGACATTACAATGTGACGTGACGGTGTCGTGCGACGTCACACCACCGTGACTGTGACGCCACTGTGACGTGGTCGAATTTACATCCTGGCACAGATGCGAAAGCGAAAAAAGCTCGCCCTGTAAATGCTACGCAGTTAAAATGGTGGCTTTCGGCCATTTCAGCGGTAATACGGCGCTACAGAGGTTTTTCAGACAAAGCACAAAAGTAGCAGAAGTTAGTAGGAGGTACTTGCATCAGTAGCAAGTGTTTTGCCGAGAAACTTTGCCTTCTCTGGGCAAAGTCTCTTGATATGATGTCAGTTAGCAGCATGAGGCTTTGAGGAAGTTCGTTTTTCGGGTAGCAAGATTTTTCGGCAAGCTGCACGATGACGTCGCCCTTAAATGGCCGCCCGTCGTGAGGGAAGTACAAACTTGTACCTTAGCGTAAGCCTCCTGCTAGCTACTGAAAGGTCAATATCCCCTCCGGGCTAGTCTTGTAGGATTGATGACGCTACTGTTGAAAAGAATGTGCCTTGCATGTTGCGAAGCTGATCGAATTTGCTCTTTCCGTCGACTGAATTGAACATCCCTCAGAATTGAAGTGTACCGGCACGAGTGGAGCTAAAAGGCAAAGGTGGTGTCACGAGCTGCAATCTTGAGTGTCATCCATAAAAAAGAACAAGGGTAGGTGTGTGTGCGTGTGTGTGTGTGTATTGTTGCTTTTTTTTTTTTTTAAGATGAGAGCTGGAGAAGTTTAAGAAAGCAGGGCCCATGTTGCTGCATGCTATATCATAATAAATTATCGCCGCGACCAAACTTATGAGCATACTTTACAAAGTATATGCAAATATATGTGTATATTGCAAAAGCAACGCTATGGCCCACTGTGTTATTCGCATTGTGCTGTGTTTTCTCTCAAGGCTGCCTAACACCGCCTATAGCCAGTGACAGGTCAAGAACGAAGTGGAAGCTCCTCCCACCCCTTTCCACTTCAGCAGAGCGAACGGTGGAGAGGAGGTCGCCTCCTCTTCATTGTTCGCTCTACTAAAGTGGAAAGAGGTGGGAGGAGCTTCCACTTCGTTCTTGACCTGTCACCGCCTCCGCATCGCCTCCCCTCCCTTCATGAAACGTCATCAGAGTCGGATCGCGCTAACTCTGCTATTGGGCCCGAGTCCGACCTTTGATGCGCTGATTAAACACGAGCCGAGCACTGGCTCAGCACTCATGCCGAATCTCTGGCCTCAATCTATCCGATTGTGACGATGGTGCGGAGGCCTTCTGCTTATCTAGGTGGTGTTGGGCTGCCTCACTCACACCTTTCCATTTAGGTGTGACCGCTTATGGTGATGATGATTACTCGAGAGCACACTGGTGCCATCTATCAGGTTGCCCCAAAACTCAAGCCCACAGTAAAGAAGTGATGCTTAAAAAATAAAAAGCTTCGGCTAGGTGGCACAAGCTGCCGCCCGATTTAAAGGGCTCAGTCGTCATTCATCTCTCCAGTAAGCAAGGAGTCGCAAAGTGGTCGGTCCATGGGCGTACCAACCGGGGGGCAAGGGGGCGCTTGCCCCCCCCCAGCTCTCAGAGTGGAGGGGCAAGGCATGTTTTGCCCCCCCCCCCGAAACACCCAGCACCGGGCATGGCAGGCGGCGCCTGAGGGATACCAAGGGCACTGATTCCCCGGCCCTGGGGGGGGGGGGGGGGGTCTAGTTTGAGATACCAAGGGCACTGCCCCCCCCCCCCCCCCCCGGCCCGGGGGGGGGGGGGGTCTAGTTGGCCCCCCCTCTCAAAAACAAGTTTTGGGGGCCCTTCGTGGGGCCCACATTTCCAGAAAGACTAGCATTGTTGTAAATGCACTGTGCAACTTGGTTCATGTGGAACTAACCCGCTTTGCATGCTATGGCACTGTACCATGGAGGGGGGGCCTGGTGGTAGATTTGCTGCGTGGAAATATCCATAGGAAACACTTGCCTCAATCAAAAGTTACTAATAAAATAAAAACATTTAGCCTTGTGGGTAATTTTGGCAAGAGCGAAGTAAGAATGATTTTGTTTGTATCTTGCTTTTTTCATTATTAAATATCCCGATGATCCACAATAACGGGTTGTTTTTCCTCTTCCCTGGAAAACTTGGGTTTTCATTTGTGACTTCTGATTGAGGATAAAGTTTCCTTCGCAATTTTCGCAAAAACTTGGAGGACGCTTAAAAGGACACTGACACCCCCCAAAATATTTTTTTAATTTTTTGCCAGGCGCTTCATTATCGTGTCGGAGGACTACCCAATTAATATTTTGCAACAGAGTAGCGTATTTTTTTAATAAAGCCAAAAGACGCAACTGCTCGAAACCGAAACCGAAACCCGACGGAGGTCGGAGAAGTGGAGAGAAGAGAGTGAGTGGCGGAAGTCACGTGGCTACACCCGACCGTGCATTTTTTTTTTTTTTTTTTTCTCCCCGGTAGCAGACGACATGCGGAACCGTTCGCCGTGGGATTCTTTTGCAGTTATGTATGTTCCGCTCGTTGTTCTGTACTCCAAGATGAGTTGTTTTGTACATTGAGGAGTTGGAGATGAGTAGTGAGTGCCCGTGGTGAATTTCCATGATCGGCTCCGAAAAGAATACACCCAAGATGTTACGTGAAGAGCTGGCTCACACGTCCTGCATCCGAAAAAAAGTGGCATTGTGCGACAGAGTTTCCGAAAAATCAACGGGATCGGGACCAATGGCTGGCAGCAATTCCTGTAGAACATATACGGGCACCTCGGAAAGCGGACGCTACCTGATTTATATGCTCCTTGCATTTTGTGGAAAGTGATTACATTGAGTTCGCAGGTGTCAAAACGGAAATCCCATACCATTTAATTCAGCGAAGTATCGTCCACAACATTTGTTTGTTATTTTTTGTTTGTTTCTTCAGTAATGACTGTAAAAAAAAAAAAAAAGATATGTAAACATTAGAAAATGATTGAGAATAAAAAAAAAAAGTTTCACGGTGGATCGAACCCACCGCGCGTGAAGCGGACGTATTTCCCACTGAGCTACTGGGGCATCTCTTTACTGGCGGATCTCTTTCCTTACTAATAATTCAGCCGGTAAACTGTAAGTTGGAAAGTTTGCTGTCGATTTTTCTCTAGCAAAAGCACTCCCGGGTCGAAGTCGGGAAGCACCAAGTTTTGGGGACATTCGCACCTAGTGAAGAAATCGTACGCGTGCATATTCAACTCGAAGTAGACACGTCGTGCTTGACGTTTGCGCCAGCGATGTCTTCAGCCACGAGAAGGGAGCGACGGCTCGGCGACGGCTTGGCGACGTCTTCGTGCAAATCGGCTTGGTGGCCGGGCGTGTCGTACGGGATGAATACCAATTCTTTTGATCAGTCCCAAATTTCTCTTTTAACGGTAGACGGAATTCGCCGGTACCGCGAACGACAGTTCTGAAATAGAGGTCCCATGCCCGTCGTCCGCTGCCATCGCCGTCCCCGCGAGTCCCACGATACGCGAAACGACGAACGCACAGAATGCTTCCGGTTGTCTGTGGAACTTTTTCTTTTTCAACCAACGTATTTACAGCTTTTTAGAAGCCACAAAAAATGGGTTTCATATTTTTTATATTTTTAATATTGAGTCTGTGCCTTCAGTGACCCACGACTTTGATTAAATTTGGTGGTCGCATCGATACCTTAGAAAACGGCCCGTGACCGCGAAAAAGAGAGTGAGCGAGACTCGAACCGGCCAGTTCTTGATCGGCGGTTTTCGGGCGGAAAGAAACCAAATTTCGAGCCGCAAATTCTGTTCTGGGTAGTTGAGCTCTCATATGTCACGTACAACTAAAAACCTCGGCGAGCATAAATACCCTGTCAGTGTCCCTTTAAGCTTCGCCTTTAAAGGGGTCGTGAAACGATTTTTCAACTTTTTCCTTAGCTTTCCTCCTCAACTCACACATCGCGCATTGTACCCAAAGTTAAAGAAGACGGAAAGGAGGGACTCCCCTCTAGCTCGGATCCTCGTTTGTGTACCCGGACACCGCCATTCTCCTCCTAGAAGATTAGCCCGTTGCTCAAAATTCGAACATAAGTTGCTTTCCCCACTCCATTCGCCCCGAAGCTGACAGTGCTGTGGAAGCTACGTGCTCGGTGACACAGCCACACGCACTTTATCCAGGTGATCACGCTCCCTCGCGCATACCCATGTGCAGAGAGTGAGGTCAGGTGGTGAGAGGAAGGCGGCCAATTGATCCGGCAAGCGCATTGCTTCCACCGCACTGTCAGCTAAGGAGTGAGGTCCGGTATCGTCTGACGTGCGTTTGGGCCGGGTGACGCGCTTTAGTATTGCAGATATATCGGAGAAAAGGCAGATAGCTTTCGAAGGGGAGGAGGTACGAAAAAGTCCATTTTGTTTTCAAATTTGCGTATTGAAAATCAGGCTTTTGACTTTCTACCTTCTTTCTTTTGTCCCACTAAACCGATATGCTATTAGTAAAATCCCAGTCTAAATGCATTTATCCCAGCTTAAAATTCGTTTCATGGGCCCTAATTTGCAAAGTCTTCTCATTAAACCCGCGCTCCTTCCCAAGCCGTTCAAGTGTGTGCGCGTGGTCTAGTCGGTAGCGTCACGTGACGCCACGTGTTTTCATTGGAATTTTTCCGCCAAATGTTGGCGGGAAAGTTTTCCCCTAAATTTGGCGGGAAAATTTAGCGGGTCGATAGGGTCATGGCGTTACAGCCACGTGTAACGTCACAGGTGGCTGCGCGCCTGTGACGTCACGAATAATTAATAATCGATTGTAATGCAATTAAATGCAAAGGTGCAAGCGAGTTGGGCAAGAATGGCGAAAAAAATCCCTGGAGAAGCGGAGCAAGAGGAGAGACACAAATCTCCAAACGCAGCTAGGTAGGTGACTGGTGCGCGACCGAAAAAATCCGCCTGTTCCGGGTATCGAACCCGGGACCTCTCCATTTCCAGTGGAGCGCTCTACCAACTGAGCTGACCAGGGGTAAGACGTCAGCAGAGCAAACGGGTTTTATCAGCTGCCACCAGTCTACCACCAACAAGAGTGAAACTGCAACAATATCAGTGCCTCTGGGAGTTGGTGTCTCGACCTTTCTGAAGAACAAAAGAAAACCGCTTTTACCTGCATGTCCTACTTTTTACTTTAAAAATGGACAAAGATTGAGGTTTTCGGCACCTCTCAACTCGTTCGCCATCTTCCGAGTCACGTGCGTTATTACGTCAAGGGGGTCGTGCGGGGTTCCGGCATTAATGAGCACCGAGAACTCATCCGCTCGCGACCGCGTGACCACGTGCTGGCGAAGGAGGAAAGTCTCGTACGGGTCCGGCCATCCCCGTCCGCGTCTGTCCCCGTCCCCCTCCGGCGTCTGGCGGCTGCTCGCGGTAGCAGATAGAGCTGACAGTTTTGTGGGCCTAAGATCATCTATCTTAGGCACACAAAACCGCCAGCCCACTAAAACTCCGTATAATAAAAGTTTTGTCGATGATACCAGATTTTTGACGCATTTATATTTATGTTGGATCGACAGGATTTATAGAAAAGTTACCTTTTATCGAGCAGGTATTCGCACAACTTGCTATCGTTGTACAAGTCCCCCATTGACGTCAATCCGCGTGGTTCTCATTGTCGCCGCTCGCGGCTGCAGGTCTCGGAATGTTCTAATTTTTGCCTCGCGACTACGCGGCGGAATCGCAACATTTTGAAGGAAGGATGTGTGTTTTCTGTCCTTTGTGACAAGATGAACAGTGCCAAAGTATAAGGATGTCAATTCTTTCAACGTTATATTCCGGGTCCCGTTTCGATCTGGATGAGTTTCGTGTCGACACGTAATCGCCACTACCTGGTGCATGTTAAAGAGCCCTAGG